TAATGGATACTATAAATAATAGCTTCATAATCTTCAGTAAATTTTGGATTTTTTTTGTTAGAACCATTTTCTCCTATCTGCTAAACTAAAGTGGTGGGGGAAGGTTAGACCTATCTTTATTTAAATGTTAATAACTCCGGACTGGATGATCAGAATCCAACAAACGAAGGCTCTTAAAAGAGCGTTTCTTACTCTATATTATACCATAAAAATAATAATAATAAGGTTTTGAACGTAGACGCTAGGGGCGCTTTCTTACAATTTAACAAACAACGCGTTTTTTCAAAAAAATTAAATACTATGTGTTATTTTAGCTGATAGTAAAGAGTAGTAAAAGCTTAAAAAGTCAGCGAACACCGCATTTTGATATCTTCTTTCAAACCGAAGATATTAGCAAAATTATAATAAATACCAAAAAATAAGCCCTTAATTATATTATTTTTACAATACAGTATCAGTAGCCCTCTTGATTGAGCCTAACAGGCAGAACAAGTTAGCTTATTTTAAAATCGACGAAATGGCCACAGATGGTTAATAGTCTGTTGGCTCAAGACATTAGTGAACAAGAACATGATTCGCGTTTGGCTTTGCGCAGCTGCGTAATAGTAACATCAACAGTTAGATCAACATTTTGATAAAGCAGCAGCTTTTTTATAAATGCTTTTTCAAAATGCCGTTATTATTTGAAGTAGTTGAAGTAGTTGGCATTTTGAAAAAGCAATCAAAAGATAAAAAACGCTGCTAAGACTATCAAAATGTTGATCTAATAACAATTTGACGTTTATACTATTACGTCAAAAGCAACTTTTTTCCAAAGCCTACCATGACTTCACTGATTCATCGTTTCTTGTTCACTATTATTAATATCTTAATTATTAGATATTAATACATCTGGTATTATGATATTCTGGTATATCGTCGGTTTTAAAATAAACTAACTGTTTCTATCTTATTTTTAAGTTAGAATGGGCATAATCAAGAGGGCTACTGATACCGTGTTGTAAAAATAAGGTAATTAAGGGCTTATTTTTTGGTATTTATTATAATTTAGCTAATATCTTCGGTTTGAAAGAAGATATCAAGATGCAGTTTTCGCTGACTTTTTAAGCTTACCTTTACTACCAGCTAAAATTACATATACTATTGGATTTAATTTTTTTGAAAAAACGCGCAATGTTTGTTAAATTGTAAGACGACGCCCCTAGCGTCTACGTTTAAAAGCTTATTATTATTGTTTATATGGTTGCTGAACACGGCGCAATGTGACGAACATGAGCGATAGTAAAATTCGGTTTAAACGAATTTTTGCAGCTTTAATCTAAATAAAATATCTGTTAGAATCATTTGCTCTATAAAGTAAAATGAAGAGCTACTCAGTATCAAAAATTATACAACAAATTTAAACATTTTTGCCAAAATTTCATTTAGTCAGGTTTATAGACTTTAGTGTCAATGTCGATATGATTGATGACGTGCATCGGAAAATGTTTTGCGATTACTATAATTATTACGCTTTCTCTATGGATACAACTGACTACCGCAAGCTGTTGCTGGGATATCCTATTAATTTTAATTGTATTTTTTTAGACATTGGGTAGATCGTAAAATACCAAACGACATACTGAAATTATCACCAGTTTTCTAGAATGCAGACACCCTTTCATAAAATGCGTGTAAATATTTTGAACATCTCTATTAGGTACCTACTACATATTTTTGAATTAATAAATAATCTATCTTTGAGTAAATTATTAGTATTTACAGGTAGATACGTGATAAGTGATGTGTAACGTTTTTATTATTAAATAAACGTTTAGTTTTCTACGTGTTGCTTTTTATTGTATTGTTTATAATTATGGCAAATGTTATTTTTCTCGTGTCCTACTTAATTGAATAAATTAATATTAAATTAAGCGTATATTATGCGCTGTATAGAGCAAGTGTGTCGACTGATATGACGTTTGCATTTTTGTCTGGTTACTGGCATACTGGCTAATATATTGGGTGTTTCTTCGTGTTCAATAAAAAAAAGTAATAAGAAATAAAACAGCAAAAGAAAAAAAAATTATGGGGATAATTGGGGCTCAAAGCTCAAAAATACGACCTAGAATAATGAATTCGATATACATCTGCTTACAAATAAAATTATTGCCAAAAGCAATATACCATACAATTTGGATATATCACCATACGTACTAAGAACTTTTCTTAATGTGACGAGCACTGACACATTTACCTTATCCAAAATTATTTAAATTTGAAATGTGTATTGAGCATCTGCAGACCTTCAAAAAATGTATTTAGGACTTCGCTGTAAACCCAACGGGGGAGCCAATATTTGGACCAGGCGGATGAAACTGCCATTTGAATTTTGGAAACACGGCGGAGTTTCTGCCAGTAGAGGGATAGATGGCGCTGCGTAGAAATTTCATCTAAAGTCCCTAGATATTCATCTAGGGACTTTAATTTCATCATGATTTTATCAAGTCATCCACAGAATATAGTTTAATTAACAATTCGTTTGATTCTCTGTGGAGTAATTGGAGTAGTTGGAGTAGTTGAAAAATATAAATATTTATATAAAATGTTGATAATTTAACAGTGATGTGCTTTGTTACCCTATGAATAAACATTGATATGAAGTTGCTTTCGCCAGAAACAATTATAATTAAATAATTTAATAAAAATTAATTTCTAAGTGACCCGGATCAGTTAGATCAGTAAAATAAATTGAAAAATAAACGTCATTCCATATTTGGCAATGTCTGTCAGTTTCTGTGAAGTGGAAGTGAATTGTGATTTGTTTTTATGGGAATATTTTACGGATTTTTGCGAATTTAGAGTATTTTGGACGATAGGATTGTGAAATTTAAAAGCCAAGTAGTTTAATATATAAGATTAATTAATCCCTGTGATAATTTTTATGAAATTTCTCATAATCAAAACAAATTCTTTCAACAAAATGGCTGTCTCAGAAATTTGGAAGATCATTAATTTTAAAGTTTTATTTAAGTGTATTTATATCGAATCAAGAATTTGTATAACATATTAAAAGCTTAATTTTAAAGGTTGTGCAGTAATTTATGTAAGTGTACGCTTTTAGATAAATATTAAATATACAAATTTGCAAAGACAAACAAGTAATTTTAAAAAGATCATTTATTTATTTAAACGAGTATAATCATTAATCATTAGGTTGAAAATATATTTGTATTTACTTATTTATATATTTTCTATACCCTTGTATTATTTATAAGCCCTATATGTCCTGTTTTATTTGAAAAAAAAATGCTTCGAGTCATCGAGAATAGATTTAATAACAATTTTGTCCCTTGGCTTTGTGTATTATATAATGTGAATTGTAAGATGTTTCTATTTGAATAGGTCATTAAAGTTGAGATTAAAGTTATACCAAATTATATTCACGGAAACTATATGTCTTTTATATAATAAATTATTTATTTATAATTTATAACCTTTTTTATAATTACTTATAACTGATTGTATAAATTCTGATAACTTTTATATATACTTGTATAGTGTTGAATGTGTTATATGTAATTTTATTAACAATGTTATAATAAAATAATCAAGTTACAAATTTTTCGTGTTTTATTGTAATTTCAGGGATAATTTCAACCTAGATTATTAATTTATTTGTATCAAAATACATTATTTTTATTTTGTAAAATGTTTTGTTACAAATAAGTTCATAATCTAGATTGAAATTACCAAATATAAGTAAAAAACTTATGAACTGGCAGTAAAGGTCCATTTAAAAATATGGCGCGAACCTTTAGTTCTGCCAGTAGCCCGCTTGGATCGCGTCGAGCGCGTGTTTCCAGGCTTTAACATAGGAGTTTTCATTTCTTTCAGTTAGTTATTCTATGATTTGGACAGTTCAATATTTCCATGGGATTTTCTACATTTCCAACAACCATGTACTATACCCGGTATATTACGAATGAAAAGACACTCAAGAATATGCTATATAAAATAATTTTTTAAGCTATAACCATTAAAAATTAAATTAGTTAATAACCGAGTATAAATATTTTATTTTTTGTAACAAACTTTTTTCAAAATATTTTTAACTTAAACATTTTATATAAACTCTATTTTACATAAGCCTAAATAATCATAACACCCTGTACAATAACGGTAGAGCTTAAACGAAAGTTAAGAAATGAAATAAATTGTTGTTATTGAAGGTGACCCAGCGTTCATAATGCCGGAGGATGAGTCAGACTTAATATTATTCAAAAATCAATTTTATAACGTTGTTTCAGTTTAAAAATCATAATTTTAACGTATTTTAATCAAAATTTTTCTCAAAAAGGTCAATAATTTGATAATAAAAAAGAAAAAGGGCTAGAAAATTAAATTTTTAATTATAAAAATTCACAAATATTCCAGCCCAATTAATATATTACGTTGTTTTAATTGAAAAAACATGATAAATGAAGATAAAACAAAAAGAATATATTATAATAGAATAAATGTACAACACACTTGTTTTAAATGTCAGTTTCTTCAATATTTTAAATTTTAAAGCTTCTGAATAGAGAATTCGTGGAATATGAATAAAAAAACTCACAAAGATTCTTCTAGTCTACATTATTAAATTAAAATACTTTAAAAATTATTTAAAATAGTACCAGAAGTAAGAATCACTCATGGCCATGCTTAAATTTCCCTAAATGATCATTTCAGAATAATGAATATATTATTAAGTTTCTTAAACAAAGAAAACAATAAAACTTATGGAACTAAAAGAAAAAACTCAATAAGATTAGATTAAAGTCCATTAATCCTCGTTAAAAAACGATTTATCAAAGAAAATAATTATTATATTATCGAGAAACCCCACCCTAATCAAGACACACACTCTGACAAGTTCATCAACCGGCTTTGTTGGATGGCATTTTCCGTAAATTTATGAGAGAAAAAACGTATAATATCGCACAATACAGTATAAATTTATAAAAACTATGGCTTACCTTCGATATGTGGACGAGTAAAAACTTCCAGGCGATCAGAAAATAATAAAAACGTTAAAAAAATTCTCGAGAGAACGACTGTACCGGCTAAACAGCTGACTCAAACTCGACTGGCAAAAGAGGAACGATCGGATTGGAAGGAGAGAATTCTTCGAGCCATCTGATTGGAGATGGAATCGCGCGCGCGCTTTGAATTCCGTCCGAGCAGTCGAGCTGATAAATCGGGATGACACACTTCGTAAACAATAATTTTTGTTCTTTATAAATTATTAATCCAAAGAGTTATAAAATTTTTAAGTCTAAATCATTAGGAATAAATAATTTTAAGTATCCTGAATCCTGTTAAGTTTTTAAAAAATGAGTCGATTAAAAATGGAATTAAATGTAATTAAGTACAGTTTAATTGGGTTTAAGAATTATACATACATACAGCCGTTACTCGCTGACGAGTATTCGACACACATAAAGAAAATGGTCACGCAAGGCGTTTTCTTTCATGAGCTTTTCTGTGACTGAAAAGCCCGATACGTGATGTTATCTGCCTACCGCACTCCGGACATTCAAAAATCTCATTGCTTTGTTGCCTCTCTACTTTTTGGTTGCCGCTGTTAACTGAGTTTACAACCCTTCTCCATTGAGTTCTATTGTGAGCTGCTTTTTCCCACTCATTCTGCATGTTAATTCCCTTTAAATTTTCGTGGAAAATGTCCTTGTATCTTTTCAGTTGTCCACCCGGCCTCCTCTTACCGTCCACAAGCTCACCGTAAAGCAGAGATTTTGGTATGCGGTTTTCTTGCATTCTGCATACGTGACCAGCCCATCTTAAGCGGGATTTTGTGACCATGACTTCAATACTCTCGCAGTTAGATTTTTCAAGGACCGATACGTTTGAGACATGATGGAACCACCGGACTCTTAAGAGTTGTCTAAGGTGTCTCTGTTGCAACTTGTTCAATGCGTTCATGTGTCGGCGGTAAGGCACCCAGGTTTCGCTCCCATATATCATGGTGGGGATTATAATTGCTCGGTATACTGCAAGTTTTGTTTTTGTACTCAAGTCATGATTGTAGAAAACCCTGTCTTTTAATTTCCAGAATGCCCTTGAGGCGCTACTAATCCTGTGCTGAATTTCAGAGTCAATATTGGCCTTTTCCGAAATCAAACTGCCAAGGTAATTGAATTCCGCCACATATTCCAATAGTTCTTCTCCGATTTTTATAGCATTGTTGTGATCTTCCGGGTGAGTGCACATGATTTTAGTTTTGTCGATGTTTAGCTTAAGGCTCAAAGCCTCGTATGCCCAGGTATATGTGTTCAACATTTCTTGTAATTGTTGTACCGTGTTTGCAACTAGAGTGCAGTCGTCAGCGTATTGAAGTTCTGTGATAAATTTTGTACGTGTTTTTGCCCTGAGTCTTTTTATGTTGAACAGACCGCCGTCATATCAGTATCTAATGCCCAATCCTCTCTCCTGCAGTTTGCTGTCCACTATAATGGAGAGCGCTGCCATGAATATGTTGAATAGGAGAGGCGCTAAGACACATCCCTGCCTAACTCCTGTATTTGTTAGGAATGGGTCTCTCAGTGATCCATGATGTGACACTCTTGACTTGTTGTTTTGGAGGCTTTTACACACTGTAAGAAATTTGTTGGGTACTCCGAACTTTTCCATAATTGCCCAAAGCGCATCTCTGTTCACAGAGTCGAAGGCTTTTGTTAGATCGATGAATGCAACATAAAGTTTAGACTCCTGCTCTTTTACTTTTTCCTGTAGTTGACGGATGGAAAATATGGAATCGACGGTGCCGCGGTTGGTACGAAAACCCCTTTGCGATTCTGGAAGGATTTTTTCTATATATGGGTGCAGGCGGTTTGACATTATTTTTGCAAGAATTTTTCCGCCGATAGCCAATAGCGAAATTCCCCGGTAATTTCCGCAGTCTGATGCACTTCCTTTGTTCTTAAATATATTCACTATATTCGCATTGCGAAAATCCTGAGGTACCTCTCCGCTTTCCCATACGACACCAAAGAGAGCCTTAAGATGACCAATAAGTTCTTTACTTGCACACTTATAGATTTCCGCCGGAATATCGTCACAGCCAGCTGATTTGTTGTTTTTAAGCTGTTTTATGGAGGTCTTTATTTCTTGTTCTGTTATTGGGATGTCTAATACATCGAGGCTGTTATACTGAGGTATTGTGTTTAATGCTTCCATATTGGGGTTCTTTTTCTTGGTTAAGGATATGGCTGTAATGTTCTTTCCAGCGATTTCTAATTTGTTCTTCCTCTTTTTAGAAGTTCGCCATTTTGAGCCATGATTGGGCAGCTTACCTTCTTAGTTGGGCCGTATACTTACTTTTACAGCCTCGAAGAATTTACGATAATCGTGATGCGTGGCGTACTCTTGAATCTGATTCGCTTTTTGTGACCACCAGTTATCCTTTACTTGGCGCAGTTCTCTTCGAAGCGTGTTGTTGGCTGCTTTAAAGTTGTCTACCAGTCTTGGATTATGTGGATTTGCAGTGACGGCTTGATATGCTCTATGCTTTTGTTCCAACAAAGCCTGTATATGCGGTTGATTTTCGTCAAACCAGTCTGGTTGTTTCTTTTGTTCGACTTTCCCAGTACTGCTTCGCTGGTTTTATGAATCGCATCCCTTAATTGTGTCCAGCCTTGTTCAGCTTCCAATACTGAGATTGAAGTTATCGGTGGAAGTGATTCTTTGATGGCTTCCCGGAGGGCGTCGGCGGTATTGTTGTTTTCTAGACCCCGTACGTTCAATCTGGTCATGTTGTTTTGCTTTTTACAGCGTGGATGTTTGGGTTTTATCTGGATTTTCATTTTTGAAATTAAAAGTCGGTGGTCAGTGCCGCATTCGGCATCTACTCTAGCATTTGTGAGCCTAACATCTTTTAGATGCGTCCTTCGAACGATTATGTGGTCCAATTGATGCCAGTGGCCTGATCTAGGATGTTTCCAGGTACCTTTAAACTTGTCCTTCAACATGAACCACGTATTGGTGATGCAAAGATTATACTCTGCGCATGTTGTTAATAAGCGTTCACCATTGCTATTTGCGTTTCCCATTCCATGTTTTCCCAATACGTCAGGCCATATTTCCTGTTGTTTGCCTACACGGGCATTAAAGTCACCTAGCAAGATGATTCGTTCGTGCTTTGGAATTCGTTGAAGGGCATTTTGTAAAGCTTGGTAAAATTTATCCTTATCTTCAATTTTAGCGTCAAGGGTGGGAGCGTAGGCACTAATGATGTTGACGTAAGTTTTGTCTGATATGGGGTACCTTAGGGTCATAAGACGTTCGGAGACACCAATAGGTACTTCTGTTAACTTGGTGGCGATTTCGTTTTTGATCGCAATGCCTACACCATGAATTCTCCTGTGTGTTGCGGGATGACCTTTCCAAAGAAGGTGTAATGCTCCTCAGTGAGACTACCTTCATCTGCAAAGCGTGTTTCGCTTAGAGCGGCAACATCTATATTTAATCGGTGGAGTTCCTGTGAGACCAGTGCTGTTCTTCTCTCTGGTCGATTTGAATTTATCTTGTCCAGTAGAGTGCGGACGTTCCACGCCGCGAACGTGAAACATTGATGTTTTTGTTTCTCCGATGATACGCTCGAGTAGGCACCCCCTCCCGGAGATCCGATTGAGGGGGTATTTTACCTCCGGACGATAATTTTGTCCCACTCGAATGTTCCATCATTGCTGTGTGTAAGCTGCGTGAAAAGGTTTAACTGTGGCGGTTACGCTGCCGCACAGTTTTGGCTGCAACTGTAGCACGGGATGGCTATGGCACAGTGAGGACTGCGACGATAGTTCCCTTGTGCTACGTTCTCGGCCGGCTAGGTGTATTTTATTACTCCTTTTCCCCAGAAGATGGTAGGTCTGAGGGTTGTATAAGGTTATACCGCCTATACTCGGACGTCAGAGCCTCGTTTGTGTAAACAGGGTGCACCACGTGAAGGTGAGGTTGACTTTTGGGTAAGCTAGGCTATATGTATCGCTTCAATACCCCTTGCACCCCAGAAGCTCTTAAGAATTAAGATTCTTGAATGAGTAATTTTTTATTACGTTTCTTAAATTCTAGAACTGGCTAATATCCTTGTCTAATATGTTTAGGTGATAAACCAGGGATAAACCTGTAGCCCCTGTAGCCCGTCTGGCGCGTTGTAAAAGGGCATTTATAGAGAGTTTTCGCATAGTTAACTTGGGAACCTACTCTAGTTATTGAAGAACAGTATAAAATATAAGTGATTAAGATTACCTTAAATCGGGCAGGACATTTTTAAGCAAAAAAAATTGTTGGATGGCATTTAAAATTTAACAAATCCGGATTATCTGAGTCGCCAATTATTATCCAAGCTAGGATATACATACCCTGTTTTTTTTCTCAAGTAAATATTTCGACAGACGATGACAGAAAAAAAGCAGATGACGTTCATACCAATCCATTTATTTCACTAAAAAAAGTTTCTAATATTTTTTAAGTTAACTATAGATGGGTTTATATACAGGGTTGTTCACCACATACGACACGGAGTATTGTAGCGAGTAGATTTTTCCAAATTGTAAGTCTTGAGTTCGTTAAAGAACTATTAAGCTACAATTTAAAAATATGTTTACAAGATACAGAATGTCCCAAATAAGTAAAAAATATTATAGTTGTATTTTTTTAAATGGATTTTATTCTAATTTTAGGTTCTACGATTGAAATGAAGGTAAATTTAATTTCACACGTTTTTATCACACTTAAACCTTACCGTTTTTGAAATATTTTCAATTTTATGAAATTGCAGTAAAAATTTTAAAGCTTATTCATTTCTCCAAGGCTATCGAAGTTTTTAACACTAAATATTTACTGAAGTTTATTTATTGATCAGATATTATGTTGCAATAATAAACAAAATACTACCTTATACAGAGTGTCTAAAAATTGATATCAAATAATTACTAGCTTTAAACGGCAATAACTTGTTTAATTTAAATGGAACACCCTGTATATTTTACGGGAGTCAGATGCGCAATTTAATTGTCTATCAAATTGTATTATACCATTTTTTACGTATCTCTTCAAGTTTTCGTAGAAAATGCATTTTCTTATAATTTAGACCTCATTTATCACTAAACAATCACCTACTTACGATACATATGTCCCTTGTTGTAATAATGTTTACTTTTGACAAAAGAACCTTTTAACTGAAAATAGCTTTGAAAAAGACGAGAATACACGTCAAAACGTCGTCAATATTTTAAATAAAAGGTTTTTTATTTCCTGGTTCTAAACCTGTGAGCGCCTTTCACTTATTTAATTTAAAAAATGTTTCTATTTGTTTAAATAAAATCTATATCTTTTAAAATTACTTTTCTTTTAAATTTGTATATTTTTAAATTTAATTATTTTTTTTTATCCTAGTCCTAAACCTGCGAACGCCAGAACGAAAGAAAAAAAACCCAGAAAATAACCAGCGGTTCTCAAAATTTAAGCAAAAAAAAAATTTTTTTAAAAAATTTTCTCAGAAAAGTAAAATAACAAATAACTATTTTGGACTTATTTGAAAAACGGTAAAGAGAAAATATGTATGTTTCTTTTATCGAGATCTACCAGCCCTGAAAATATTTGCACTTATTTAAGACTCACCCTGTATAACACAAATGTACGTAAATCTACCATATTATTAAATTAAAGATTTAACACCCTGTATCTCGAAAACGAATGTTTTGCGGACACATATTTATATAGGCTCTTATGCTTTTAAATCTATGACTTTATGTTTATTTTTGAACCCTGAATATGTACCTGAAGTATTGACATTTTCTCATAAATCACCCTGTTTAAACTACTATCCCTTCTTTTTTGAAATTTGATTAAAATACGTAAGTATAATTTTATTAAGCAATACTGAAATTGCGCTTTTTTATTACAAAACTGGCATAATGTTTATAAATTAAGAATATTTCTTTATAAGAAATGAATTGAAGAATTGTTCAATAAATAAAATTAAACAGAAAAATCCAAATAAGTACTGATACAACTAAAATAAGGTATTATTCTACCAAAACTCCTAATCGCAAAGGAAATGCTGTGACTCATCCAAACGAACCCAACAAATGTATGGGCTATAAATGGCTTTTATCGAAAAACGAAAACACTTTTTAAAAGACAAAACAGTCAGTATAAATCCGTTATATAAAAGGAATTAAAAAAACATAAAAATAATTCATAATCCTATAATTTAAAAGATAGAAATTAGGAATAGAAAAAGTTTGTAATAAAAAAGGTCAACAAACTGTAACAATTTTAATTTTATTTATCCAGATCCAGTTATTTAATCTGATATTCCTAATTAATTAAAGTAAATAATAAAAAATTTATATTTGAAAAACAGAAAAATGTTTTTTTTTGCCATACAAAAAATAAAAGAAGTATTAAATTTTTTTTCATTTTTTAAAAAAAGTTTAATTTTCCAAAATAATGATTAGATTATATTTATTCCCTTTAAGAATTTAACAAAAAGCCCTTTTGTGTCAAAAATGACACCCTAAAAAGCAAATTCTATATTTCTTCTGATTTGCCGATCTTTTTTTGCCCGAACATATATATGTTCTGGTACTTGGTCTTAAGAAGATTCTAATTTATTTCATATTGAAATCCATCTTTTTTTTAATCATTCTATAATTAATGCATAACGAAACTAAAATAATTTACTTTATATTACTCTAATTCTTGATAAGATTTATGTCAATTTTTAGTAAATGATGTCTAGAGATTAACCTCGCCAAAATTAGCATCCATTGTCATTTCCCAGCCGTCTTTGACGCCGTTTTTTTTTGCACCATTATCCGGTAGTACTTTTTAGGAGTATGAAATAATAAAAAATTTAAAACATATTATAATTTATTATATACTATAAAAATAAACTCTTATTAAATAAAATAACAATATCACAGTCACAAATTATTATTTAAGTACGTCTTTGTACATACAACACTAGGCAACCAGTTAATTCCCGTCTCCCGAACGCGTATTTAGGGTTGCCTATACTAACCTTTTAAATTTTAACTTCACAAAATATCAAATAAAATCTCTATTTACACCACACACGAATCATGGACCTACTGTTCTTGAAATAGCTGCTATCTTTTCAAATAATTCTTGATATTTTCTTTGACAAAAAAATGTTTTTTTCTTAAAATTTTGACGAATGCGCCAGGATATACCATTTTTTACTTACGAACGAACTTCCACCACAAAAATAATTTTCTAAAACTCGCCTATCACTCTGGAAAATGTGGTGAAATAAAAGAGTATGTTTGAAGTTTGAAAAGGAAATTTTTATTGTTTCTAATAATCGAAATTGCACAAATCATTTCATGATTGGGAAAAATTAGAAAAAGTAATTTCAAATTCACATTTTCTTTTTTGATTTTTTTTAAAATAAAAACCGGCCTAAAATTTTTTTACAAAAGATCGAATTAGTATTTTTATGAAACTAAAGCATAAAAATCAATTCAAAACAAATCTAATTGAAAAATTATAATCAAAAAGGGGAGAATCTAAAGGCAAAAAGTCATACAACTTGTTTTTTTAAGGGATTTCAAAAAACAAGCGTTCTAAATAGCCTTAAGCCACACACGTAATTATTAAAAATAACAATAATAACCTCTTCAAAAATTTAAGAGCTTTTATTAACTGAAAATTAGAATAATATATTACTTTATCGATTTTTAAAATGATATTAAATATTTTATTTACAATAAAAACAAACAAGAAAAAAAAACGCTTCAGTCTTAGACTCTTAAATTTTTGTAGAGTCTTTTTAAATATCTATATTCATTAAATAAATTATTAATTTCTTCTGTACACCTATTATTTTTTTTTCAATATATCAAATTTTCTTAATTAAAGAAACGATCATAGTGCAAATACAAGGAAAAAATATACAATTATTCTAAAAAAGGAAATTTGGATTTATAATATAATTTGGTTGGTTTGATTGAACTAGGTTCAAAAATATATCAAAATTAACAAATTTGTCTCGTTTTAGCCCGTAATACCTTCGAAAAATACACAAACCGACGCTATTAGTACAAGTTATTATGAAAAAATAACGTTGATAAACATAATTAACAAATTGTTAAAAAACATAAAGTAAACGCAAAACAATTTCCGATGAACACAGTCAATAGATGACTTACGTTACGCCTATTTAATTCTATGTTATTGTCAAACATTAATTAACACTTTTTCAATTTTAATAGGCGTTTATATTTAACGGTTCTGCTGCCATTGGTTTGACGTTGTCACTTTTTCCATTATTTCCTGACACTTCCCTACGAATTTCATGAAAATACATATCTGTACCCTAGAAACAAATTATTAAGTCCAAAATTGGCATATTTGAGATAATATATGTAATAAGGAAAAACACACTATATGATAAAAATGTTTTTGTGAGAAATTAAGAGTAAAAGTTGCTTTGTTATCTCGATCACATTGAAGATACTGTTTTTTTAGTCTGTATCTTCGTTATTTTGCTGTAAATCTAAATTTTGACGATATGTTAAAAATTATATTTAGAAAAAAATACATATACTGTGTTTCTCCTTAAGACAGCCGAGTTTGGCTCAAGCATCTTTGGTTACAGTGTTGCCAGAATTGAATGATTTCCTTCAATATGAAGGATTTTACAGTCAACTTTCGTCGAATGAAGGGATGAAGGATTTTTATCCAAAATTAAGATACGTTTTTATCTTTCAACACATCTTATTACACACATATCATAGGTAAACCAAAGTTATTGATATTGAAAAGAAATAAATATGTAAATGGAAAATGGAGTCTTGTATGATTAATAATTATTCTCTGTTCAGGCAGTCATATTTATAAGCAATGGGTTCAGGCATTATAAGCAATGAATTTTTTGAAACATACTTTATAATACTGCTGTCGAGTATCTATCACGGCATATTTGATCGTGTTATTTTTTTTTAATAAAAAGTTTATGTACCTAAATACATCGCTATCCAAAAATTACCAGAAATAAGTTTTTAAAAATTTTCTCCTGATTAGAAAATAGGTAAAATACACGAAATTTGGTGATTTTTCACAAGATCTGGAATTTTTGGTGAAGTTGAAGGAATATGAAGGTTTTTTAAGGCTCTGTATTGAAGGAATTCGAAATTTCTGGCAACACTGTTTAGTTAGTATAGTATGTTATGTCTACAGGTTGTCCACAGTGACCAAAATTGATTTTGACCGTTTTGCTCTTATAGGGTATTCAATTTAAACTTACTACACATAGTAAATTGGTTCCAGATTGCAATATACATACATGTTTTATAATTTTCTGTTAAATGTTTTGTTATTATATCAGTAATATACTTTTTTTTTTACTTAAAATGGTTTAGCTTCATTCATTTAATTAAATAAGCTTAATATAAGTCAAGTACTGTAAATGTTTCTACAAATCAAGTTGTCATTCAAAAAAATGTTTCAAAATAAGTTGTTCTAATACCAAATATTACAATCATAGGTTAAAAAATTATACTTGGACTATACTGGTTATAGACGAGACGGTGTGTTTATGCGACTGTCAAGCTTGTCTAGCCCATCTGACGAATACATACCCACTGTGTAGTTTGCACCAATAGAAAAACTTAACTAGATAATCTACCTGATCATTTTGATTAACTTGATATCATCCAATCCTTACGAGTTGTAAAAACATCTAAATAGTTTCCAAAGTACATTACTTGTTTTTCTGTTTAGAAATTATTAACAGAGACTAATAAGAACACAGCCATTGTCTTCATGTAACCTCAAAATTTGGTCGGAATTTGTTTTGCGTCTACTTTATAACGAGATTTTTGTTGTTAAAAGCGGCATTTCATAAAAAAATATGAGGGGAAGATACAAAAAAATTATAACGTTGCAATAATGAGAAAATGTATGCAGAACAGGAGTCATATTATTAAAAATTTTTGTTTTAGAAAATTAGAAAACTCAAAAATTGTAGCACTCGAACCAAGTTAAACATTAGGTTTGTTCCAACACAGAAATTTTTACCGTTCTAGAACGATAATTGGGACCTTTGACATCAAATTTGTGCGCATGTGTCGACTGAGACAGTTCTGTTACTATACCAAAATTAAATGTTGGTTATAACAGGTTATAACATTAAATATAATATTTAATTATGAAATTAGCTTTGCTTTATTTACTAAAATTTTAAATCATCTTTAGTGGTATATCACTGTCCTGTTGTTACGTCACTCATATTTAGTACAAAAATATAAAAATCTTTATATGTTTAAAAACGATAAAATACATACCAAATAAAACTTAAGGAATCAGCAAATAGCTAAAGAAATAAAAGAAAAACAATAATCAGTTGACACACAGTCTTAATACGCAGGTCAATTCTTCTGATTCTTGCTTTTAGGCTGGCATTGAAATGACCGTTCCGAATACGCTTCACAAACGATTTTTAAAGTTATCGTTCATTAAACGATTCTCTCGTTGTTGGAACGCATAAGCGTAACCGTACCAAGAACGATTCTCTACTATGTTGGAACAAACCTATTATCAGTATATTATTATATCATCCTAAGAAGTGAATATTTTGACGACCTTGTTGACCGACCTGTTACAGATCGGGCACCGTTTAATAGATTTCATCGTTTTCTTCGCGCAATCGTAACAGCAACACCTGTGGGCGATGTTCGTGTGCAAGAAGATGCTGTCTTTGGGCGCGCTGTTGCAGAACATGCACAGCTCCGCCTCCGACCGGTCGAATTCCGAACCGGACGCCCTCTCTTGCGACGCGCCCGAACTAAAACCGCTCGATTCCGACGAGAAGCTCGACTTGTCGACGGGAAAGGCCGACAGGCTCGACTTCTCGCCGATAGACGGCGTCGAGCTCGACGTATAGCCTAAATCGCGAGCGGTTTTCGGTTTTTTCGATGATTCGGTCCCCGAATCGTCGCTAGTACTCTCGGACCTAAGGCGTTTACGGCCAAAGTTGGAGCTTGTTTCCTTACCGCTAGATGGCTTCGGATCTTTAGATGTATCGGATTCGTACTGTTCGAGTTCCGTTAAAGACTGAGAGGTGGAAGGGGATATGTCTTCGTTTTTCGAATTACCTAGGAAAACATTGAAAATCTAGTTTACGGAAGTTTTTACAAAGTACACGTTGAGTGAGCTTTAAGTTAGCCTTGTTAGGAATAATAAACAACATTCTAAGATCATTCTTTAATATAGAACTTTCTGCACTAGTGTACAGGGCGTTTAGTCATTTTGGTTGAAATCATACGGTATCTCCGTTATTAGAAAATATAACAAGATGCGGTTTGCACAAACCTGTCCCACTTTTTTGCCAAACGGAAGATGCTGTAAACAAAACTTTCATAGCCCTCTTCGTTTGTGAGCTAAAGTATCTTTTCGAAAATTTTGTAATTTGAGACAGCCCCCGTATCTCCATTATTTGAGAAAGGTATCGAGAAGTTGAAAACTAAATCTTGTAGAACTTTTTACGTAGAATACAATGGCGCAATCTGTTTTTCTACGAAAAAAATATTTTTGAAAATATGAACTTAAGTTATGTTTTTTCGAATGTAAATCAACTCCCTGTATATTTATAAATCATATATATATGGTTCAAAATAACCGAGATACGGGGGGGTACCAAATTGCAAAATTTTCAATAAGACCCTGCAGCTAAGAAACGAAGAGGGCTATGAAAGTTTTGTTTACAGCATCTTCCGTTTGACAAAAACAGGACAGGTTTGTGCATACCGCACCTTTCTATCTTCACTGGTAACGGAGATACCTTATGATTTCAACTAAAATGGAACACCCTGTACAGTGCTTTCATTTTACGTTGTCCCACTATTTACTGATACCGAGGGTGCAATTTAAAAATCAAAAGTTGTAGTCATTTCCGGTGAAACCAGAAGCGACCGAAAACAATTAAATATGTCAATCAATCCAGATTTATGTCATATACTAACATACCAAATCTCGTTTTATCTGAAAAAATAAAAAGTTATAGGGGTGAGCCACTTTTGAGACGCACCCGGTATACACCCTGTCCGTTTGTCAAGAAATTAATTTGTCATTCTACAGGCTCTTCAAAAAACTGAACAGATTTGTTTAAAATTGCTAACAAAAACTTACTAAAGTAGTTCACTCTAGTACATTTGTAAAGGATATCAATATTAATTCTGAAAAACAGAAAAAAAATCTACATTTTCCAAAAATGTGCTGATACTGATGGTATTTTATATATGATGATATTTTGTGCTAAATAAAGCTGTCTAATTAAATATTAACAAAGTCTAAAACGTGAAAATAGTTCATATAGTTAAAAAAACAGCTGGGTATCTCATCAATAAACTAGGAAACTAAAAAATAAAAATATGTATTATTTGTAAGAAAATAATACATATTTTCGTCTGTTGAGTTAAACTAGTGTTATTTTGGAAAAAATACATATTTTTATTTTAAATTTTCGGTTTCATTGACAAAATACTCATCAATTAATTAATGAATTAATTAATTGTATTATAATTAAATTAATTATAATTAATTGTATTATAAAAAATAAACATGTCTAAAAGTTAGACTAACCATATACATTGATTTATTTTTACCCAGTATATACTAGCAAAATGTAAACAAACCCTTTGTTTATTTACAGTTTAATATTTTTATTTTCATCAAAAGCATTAAAGAATTGCATAAATCGAAGCAAATGACACGATCCCATTTAAAACAAAAACATAAATAGAGCAGTATATAATATCAAATGTATTTCTTAGATCTTATATTATCTACATGATCCAGACAAAATAAAATGGCGCGCTACTGGCCAAAATACTAACTTGTGAAAGGTCCTTTTAATTTTTATAGTAAACTGCACAAATCATGTACTTTATACATTCAGAATTCACAACGACAGAAAATTTAATTTACCTGACATATCTGTGAATTAAAATGACCGACAATTGTCATGTATAGTCCGGCCAACCAGAAAATACCTGACAGTAACAGTTGTGTCTCATTCTAACGACATCACATTCTAACGACAGACGATAACTGGTAGTGAAATGGCAAAGGGACCTATCTGTGTTTGCTAAAAATATCAGATAGCTCCCTTAACCATTTCACTACCAAACGGTCATTGTATGTATCCTCACGGACAGATCAAATGTCTAAACAAGGTCCATCAACGCCATTCAGAGACCCAGGACACTTCTGCTGCGTTGCAAAAGCAGTCACGAGGATGGCCACACAACGATGGGTGGCCAACAAATCTCCAGAATGATGGAGAAATTCACCAGGGCAGAGACAGATGCAAAAGTTCATAGAACATTCTCCAAAATTCACGGCAGACCTCAAAAGCAAACAAAGAAAAACAATCAAAGCTGTAGTGGGTCTACTATCAAGGCATTGTAAGCTGAATAGGCATTGCTAACGTGATTGACAGACGAAGCCATGTGCAGGTTCTCTCAATCTGAAAAAGAAACGACAAAACATATTTTATGTCGATGTGACAGCCCGGAAAATGTGCGATCCTGTGTAATAGACAATGATAGGCCATTGACAGAGAGGTACATGGAGGGTTCAGTTTCCAACTTGCTAGACTTTTTGAAAATGACAGAAATGGAGAATGTAACTTAAGGATCAGAAGAGGACCACGCTAGATCTGAAAAGGTCGCAGTGGATCAGGCCGATAGCCACCTCGAAGAATTTAATCTAATACTCATGAACAGACTTAAATTATACAGGATTATTCACCATATACACCACGGAGTATTGTAGCTAAACGATTAGATTTTTACAAATTGTAAGTTTTGGATTCGATGAAGGACTAGTAGAGCTACAATTTAAAAATATTTTTACAAGATACAGAGTGTTCCAAATAAATAAGAAATATCAAAGTTTTATTTTTTTATATAGTTTTTAACGCCCTGTATATTATTACGTTTTTTAGTTTCTATGATCAAAATAAAGGTAAATTTAATTAAGGTTTACCGCATTTTAATCTTACAGTTTTTGAAATTTTTACGTTTTTGTCCAAATAGTTTTTAAAACTAATATTGTACTGAAGTTCTTCTACTTACTAAATTTTGTGTTGCAATAATAAAAATTATACTACCTTATACAGAGTGTCTAAAAATTTATTTCAAATAATTACTAGCTTTAAACGGCAATAACTTATTTAATTTAAATGGAACACCCTGTATATTTTACGAGAATCGGATGCACAATTTAATTGTCTATCAAATTGTACTATACCATTTTTTAACTATCTCTTCAAGTTTTCGTAGAAAATGCATTTTCTTATAATTTAGACCTCATTTATCAATATACCCATGGAATATTGACATTTTAGATTATTTTTAAAGATATAACAAATTTTCAAGTATAGATACTAATATTATCGATATAGTTCGCTAGTTTTATTAAAAAAACCTATTTAAATATTTGTTAAAGAGGACCAATAAATACGATCCCAGTATTCAAACTACATTAATTGACTGTTTGCGTTGATTAATAATAATTGATCCAAATACTAAAAAAAATGAATTTTGTATATGTATAGTGTGGTAAAAAGTAATACCTTAGGTCTAAATTATAAGAAAATAGATTTTGCGAAAACTTGAAAGGATAGGTAAAAAATGGTATAATACAATTTGATAGACAATTATATTGTGCATCTGATTCTCGTAAAATATTCAGGGTGTTCCATTTAAATTAAACGTTATTGCCGTCTAAAGCTAGTAATTATCTATACTAATATATAAAATCCTTAAGTGACTGACTCACTGATTAATCACGATCCTGCTCAAACCACTCAACGTAAGAAGCTCAATTTTGGCATAGAGGTTGATTCTAGGGTGTAGAGGTTCGATAGGAAGGCATTTTTCGAAATTCCAGTTCCAAGGGGGTGAAACCACCCCTCAACTATTACAATATTTTTTATTTAAAAAACGGCCAAGTTTCCGAAAAAATGCTTAAGCAGGTATATTTTATTTTGTTTTTTTACATATTTTAAGATTTTTTAAAAATTTATACAGGGTGTTTCATAAAATATGACCACTGAGTAATCACGATTCTGCTTAAACTGCTTGACGTTTAAAGCTGATTTTTGGCAAACGGACTGACTGTGGGGTGTAGAGGTTCGATAAGGAGAGGTTTCTCGAATCTCAAATTCCAAGAGGGAGAAAACGCCCCTCAAATATTAGAATATTTGTTATTTAAAAAACGGTTAGTCTTTCGGGAAAACGCGTTGGACATGCATAATTTATTTTGTTTTTTTATATATTTTAAAATTTTTTAAAAAATCATACAGGGTGTTCCAAAAAGTTGGGTAATTGATTAACCACGATTCTGCTTAAACTGCTTGACGTAAAAAGCTTATTTTTGGCAAACGGATTTTTCTAAAATCAAATTCTAACGACATGATATATAATAATATCGCCATATTGTTTTTTCTCTTGCTGACATAAATTGGAGAAAATTTTATCCAGTTTGTATGTTAATGGAAATTCTTGCTTTGCTTTATCATCACCATTAGAAATGATTAATTCGACGCGAACGAAGTCGCGGGTACACGCTAGTTTAATATGAATTTTTAGACACTCTGTATAAGGCAGTATTATTTTATTATTGCAACACAATATTTGATCAATAAATAAACTTCTGTAAATATTTAGCATTAAAAACTTTCATTCCCTTGGAGAAATGAAGCTTTAAAATTTTCATTGCAATTTCACAAAATTAAATAAATATATTTCAAAAAGGAAATCAAATTTACCTTTATTTCAATCGTAGAATCTAAAAATAAAATAATATACAGGGTATTCCATTTAAAAAAAAAATACAACTATATTGTTTATTTGTCCTTCAACGAACCCATAACTTTTTTGTAAAAAGCTTATCGTTTAGCTAGAATACCCCGTGTCGTATGTGGTGAATAACTCTGTATAATAATCAAATACGTTACTAAAAAATCTTCGTTACTAAACATTTTTAATTGATAACTGGCATTTTTCTGTTTACATCTGGTTTGTATATCTTGGGTACCTTCGTTTTACAATCAGCTTTGTTTATTTACATTATTCGACCAAAGTTTAAACATTATTTAAACCACATTATCCATCCCCTTACCTTTACTACTCCTCACGTCCTCCGGCACGCAGATCCTATCGAAGTTCAGCGGCGGGCACTCCTGGCTCGATCCCACTCCCGAGTCCTGCGACAGTCCGCTCAGACAGTTCTGTAACGTCGACAGCTTGATGGCTTCCTGGGAATCCCGCGTCGTCGTTCCCAGCGACGTTTTGGCGTTGGCTTTCCTCCTGCGGGTGCGCTTCGGCCGCGGCGGGAAAAATTTCTTACGGTCCTGACGACAAAATACCAGAAAAAGGTGAGCGGGGTCGGGCAAAAAGTATAAAAGGGTTGACCTCGTAACACAGACACACTCGGGTAAGGGTGGCGACTGGATGAGAGCTGAAGGTGCGGATTGGTGGTTCTTTCGATTTTTTGCTGCTTTCTATTCGGGTGAGCGATTGGATAAACTGAATAATTGAAGTTTAACCAGATCTCTAAATACACTCAGATGCAAAAAAACGCAACGGAAAAATTTTTGGTCAAGTTTAAAATGTTATACAGGTTAATCGAAGAATTGTTTTTTACCCTATCTTTAAAACACCCTGCGCAATAATTTCGTGAGCAAATGTTACTAAAACATTATTTTTCGGTCAGAACCATGTCTCCTGAATATTTTATGTTTTGACTCATGTTAACATATGCCTTGCTTAATTTTTAAGAGCAAAATGAACTTGAAACAATGTCTTTAATTATCGTTATTCTTCATAATGAGGTGGCTTTGGTGATTACTGTTGTGTACGATTGAATATGGTTCGTAGTGTCGTAGAATGTGCAAAAGTCACCGATCTTGTTGAAGATGGCCGAAATTATGATTATTCGCTTGGTCCTTGAAGAAGAATGGAAAACATTACACAATATCTTCACACAGTGCACAGCGCTTCACACGGTGCACAAGCACAGTGCTTCGTCCCATGGACAAAAATCGACAAAAAAGTTAAAATTTACTAATATCTGAATATGTAATTTTATACTTATAGCAATATTCAACCATCCTGTATATTATTTTTCATAAACAGCGTTTTTTGTTAGCAAATATTTTCACTAAAAATAAATTTTGCGATCATTATCTTATCTGTGAAAAGAATATACATTCATAGTAGTTCTGTATATTATGGAGTTAAACGGTACGTACTTAATTGAAAGCCACTATGGATATTGTTAAACAAGATATTATGTACTTTAAATTTATTTCTAAAGAAGTTCGTGATTGTTTAGTTTTTATTTATTTTTTAAGATGATTCTAAAATGGGTATAAAAATTTTACGTTTTCAAACTTCAAAAAGGCATTTAAAAAAAACATATCAAAACATATCGTATTTATTGAATATTTTTGTTGTCATATTCATACACTTAATTTTTGTATAGTTCACCTGCGTCTGCTTGCGACGAACTTTATTTTATAATACTTTTCAGATGGAGTAAAATTGATAAGCAATGCCGATCTGGTTAATACTTGGCTTGATCATAAGTACAAGAACTCAAAATTATTTGTATTTCAAAAAATGTGTTCTTTATTAGATATTGATGAACCTTCCAGTCAAATGAGACACCACTTGTGCCTGAAAAAGCCCACTATGTTGGAGCAAAACGTCGCATAAAAAAAGTTTCCATCTTTCAATTTATTATAAAATCTCATACCCAAGAAAAGGAAAAATAATATATGGATATGATCTATTAAAGAGGTAACTATTAACATCCGAACCCCTCATACCAACAAAAAGAACAGTAACAACGCGAAAAAGTAACATAATTAGAAAATGATGTACAGAAATATCTTATATGTGAGGATACTTCATCTACCTGTGATACTATAAATTTGGAAGATTCTGTCAGCAGTGATTCTTCTGAATCAGAGTAGTTACGATCTATGCATTTTGTTGTCCTAAAGTAAATTTATAGTATCTTAAGTTTTTTTTTAATTAAATATAACAATAATGTTTCTTTTTCATTAAAGAAAAAAAATGTATCTTATATTAAGCTTATATTGTAGGAATCATGTTTTAATGTTATTGCAATTCTTTTTTAACACAGGGATTTATTTAATACTTACACCGTTTTCATAATATAAATTATTATTTCCTTAGATGGAACAGAGCTCCAACATTTTTATTATTTATAAGATTTTTTTTTCATAAACGTGGGACTAAGAACATCATCATTTAGTACAATGAGAGTACTCATCATTTGTGTCAAATAAACCTAGTTTGAATAAATTGCCTACAATAAAAGAGAAGTTTTGCATTTTTATCCTCTAGAGCCATATGTTCGAAGCACTGTGCGACGTTTACAGACAGTTATAAGAGCTGGAGGAAATAATTAAAAGTATTAAGAGTATTTTTACAAGTTTTTTGTTTGTTTGTACACTTAGTTATTACAGTTATTATTTTTAAATATCTTTAGTTCTGTTAATATTACTAATATTCATTAAAATCATGCCTGCAGCGGCTGCGTTGCTTTTTAACGTTTTTTAATATAGAGTTCTAATCAGCATCGATATATTATAATATTACGACAATGGTCACCAAAGCCACATCGTCATATTAAAAAATAACATCATAAAGTAATGATAGTTAAAAAAATTGCAAATTGTTGTTGGCAAGTTCATTTCGCTCTTAAAAATTAACCAAGGCATGTGCTGACCGAAAAGGAATCTTTAGGCAAATTTGTTGTATATTAGTAAATTACCACTACCAAATTGGTTTCCGTTGGATCAACCCAATGGTGTTACAATTTTTTTTTATTTTCTAGATTTTTTCTAGTGGCGAAAAACCCAGAAGTCTTTTCAAGAAATGAACCCACCACAGAGGTATAGACATTTCCTTTAAACATATTTAGTAGGCATAAGTTCAGAATATCTGAAGAATTGAAGAGAAAGCAGCTCAAAATGTACTTTGTTGTGATTTAGATCATTAAAAAATATACTGTGCATAAAAAAGTTACCGTTCTTTTTTATTATCCCAAAAATATAAGAAAACATAAAAAATATCCATATTATCTAAATTTCTGATCTAATGTTTAAAAAAGAACAGTAACTTTTTCTTTTTTACTGTAAATTGCAAAACAAAAAAACGCACACTGAAATTTAAAATTATTTACAATGTTAGATAATGAAACGATTGTGCAATAGAATAAAATTCCAGTCATTAGTACCGAAAGATAAAAATGTACATAAAAATAAATAACTCGAGATATTTCCGTACATTTTTATCTTTTAAAATAAAACTTCATTCAAGCTTATAGTCTGTCCAAAGAGAGGGTCCTCGACAGTGACAGCGGTTGCCTGTCATTTAAATTCAAAGGGAAATAGAATTTTCTGTACTTTTTTAAATTATGTCGTCTGTCAAAATCTTCCCTCGTTCGTTGGACAGACTATATCTTTATTCAATAGCAGTTTTGAGTGTCAGGTAAAACGGAAGACCATCTAGAAAAACTGAAGGCAGTTCTCAAGACAGTCGTCCATCTAAACCCCATCTACACATAATATATTTTACCAGTCAGGTAAGATAAAAACTAGGGTACATATTACTGGAAGTTTTACCGGCGATTTTATCAAAATGAAACTGATAGTTAAGCGTTATGTGTAGAGGTGGCTTGAAGGAAACTGTATTTAATGCTGGAATTCATTACTCAAACTAAAAACCAAACACAAATTAAGACACCACGACAAACCCGATTTTCTCTTTTAAACGCACCTGATAACACGCTTGGCACAAGGGGAAACATTTGTACGTCTTATGCATCTTGCACAGCCGGCAGCTCTGTTAATCATTCAAAATCAAATTAAAATACTGCTCATCGCTGGACTCCTATGGTATCTAAATGCTATACCTATACCTAAATCTTACTTATACAGCTTTACCTATACAAATAGAATGCCGCCATTTTACCTGAGCCTATAAAGGCGGAGAGTGACCTGGGCCGAGCATTGTAATGTAACACTTTGCCAGTCAACGCCGTGAAATATTCGGTGAACCGAGTGGTTCGCGAACAACAACGTTGCGTTGATTGAAAGAATTGGGAAGATACGCAACTAATGAGCAAATTCGTGACAAGGCTGATTTTATTTCATCTTAAGTCTCATGTGCTGTACGGTGGAGCCTCTTATCGTTCTGCGGCCAACGCATAAAAGACACATTTTCTCTAATTCGGCTAGCGAAGGCATATCGAAGACGGGGTCGAACTGAAAGCATCAGTGTTGCCATATTAAAATGTGTAATATCTATAATAAGTTTGTCGAAAATATCTTTAAATAAAAAATCCGCGTTTATGTATTGAAAATGTATTCGTGTCAAACATAAAATAAACAACAAAAATAAAACTTCCTTCATACGTACTGAGTATTTCGTATGATCGAAAAAAGTCGTTCAATTGGCTTGGAAATTATAATTATTGACATTTACTATAACATTTTACATACATTTGACAATCCTGAAAAATGTTATTGTTAACCAAAGACTAAATCAATTTCTGAATTCGCTAACGCCAACTTATTTTTCATTAAAAAAATTACCAATTTTCGTAACTAGGTCGGCCATATTGAGGAACTTTTAAAAGAATTGTACTATAATAAATATAACAGATAGCTAGTCAGCACTCCCAATTTTTAGTTCCGACATTTTCTAAAGGCTGAAAAAATACTGGAGCGCATCGATTCGAGTATTTGAAACGCGATTTCACGTTTCAACTGGAACTTGAAACGCTTGTCGCGAGCAGCGAACAAGCGTTACATTACAGCGCTCAGTTCGAGTCAATTTTCGCCTTAATATTAGCAAAAAATAAAACAGATCTAAACACTAATAAAGAAAGAAATACTTATGCCTATAATATAAAATATTTTAACACAATATACCCAGTGTTCAAAGAAATTTAAGAATGCTTTTCAAATTAGTTGCTGTTTTTTACCTGATTTATGAGTCTATAACATTAGCAACAATTGAAACGCATCTGTATACCAATTATTAAAAATACTATTTAGGACTATAATTTTAAAATATTTTAGCACAGTATGTCTTGTAAGAAAATAAATATACATTCTGTTATAAATCTATTAATTTAAAAAATTCTGATATGATTTAGATTTAGAGACATTGTATAATATAAAACCTATTTAAATTAATAAATTAAAAAAATCTAAAAATATTTAAGAAAAGCAATGTGTATTTTTTTGTGGACATACTCTAACTATACCTTAATATTTTTTATTGTAACACCGACCAAAAGGTAAATAAAATATATAAACTACAGAAAATTAATAAAAGTAAAAAAAGAAAGTACTTACTCTTTCTTTATAAAAAAAATATTAAAATAAAAAAAGTTATACGATCAAACTAGCTCTGAACAATAACAAACAAAGAATTCGTAGAACCCTTTAAATGTCGACATTCAAAGCTGGCTTGATTTAAAAAAAATGCTAATAAAAATGGTGTTATTTACCTGACCGCAGCAACTACCATATCAGAAGGAACGCAATGAAGTTCTTTTTAATATTTAAAGAGTCCCAACTTTATTTATACACGTTATTATAGTCCTTACTAAGAGGGAAAATAATGGCTTCATGAGCAGCCATATTTCCCAGCAAAAATCAAACACACTGTATGTCCCTACATTTATTTTTGAACAGCAAAAATCGCGTACCACACAACACTGCTTACTACTCTAAATGTCGAATCATAGTTTTACCACTACGACGAGCGTTTGACAGCAGATAGATGGCGCTGGAAACTGTCTATGCGCAGTGAAAAAATCACTCGAGATATGTTTGACAGAAGAGCTGTCATGCTAAATGACATAGCTGGAAAGTTTGGGTCAAGGATATCAATATGAAATTTGGTGCAACTTTGTAAGATTTAGTGCAACTTTAACAGAACTGTAATAGGAGATAATTTTATCAATTTTTGACAAAAGTTGCTAAATTATCCAGTTCATAATCATTGGTAAATATTTGGTTTTAGATGAAAATAAGTAGCAGAAATTTAATAAACATTTCTTGCTTTCGGTTTCTAAGGATTTTGTAGATGAATAGGAAAATTGATTAGTATTTTTATTGGAAATATTAATATACAGAGTGAATTAAAAAGTTTGCAAACAAATGGTCAATATTTCTATCAGTGAGTCAAATAAAAAGAAAAAGATTATGCAGAAAATTAGGGAAATGTCTGACAATCTTGAAAAAATCGGTTTTCTTAGCAAGCTGGTTGATTTAAATGAAAGAAGAGACAATCAATTCAGCTATAGGAAGTTTTTTTATGCAAGAAAGTGCATAAAACATTTAACAACAGTTTCCAAAAATCACCCATCTGATCTACCCTCAAAGCCCCATTGTTCTGAATATCTACCTGAAAGCATTTTTCACAATATCTGAAAAGAGGGTTGTCGTTTTCACCTCTGCACTGCACACAACTCGTAAAATCTGTCCTACCCAAAGACGTTTCGTCCGACGAGCTGTCAGAGTCCTCCACGTCGGTCACCCAGACCTCCAGGTCGCTGTCGCAGATCACTGATACGGCTGCCGCTAATACCATGTCCTATGAAAATGACATTTGTAAATATGAAAACAGATAATACGTTTTACCCATTGAAAAAAACTGGAACTTTTAGGCGAATCAATAAAAGTTGGCGTGGGGTGCACGTATCATAATATTTGACGAATGTACCTCGCCATGTTGCCAGAGTGTCAAATAAATTCGTAAAAAAAATTTTGTCACCGATTGTCCACTTCAATTTTAGATGTATAGGCTTGGTGCATCAGAGAATATCGTAAACAAATAGTATATCCAAATAGACGGATTTAAATAACGAGTATACGTAATCTGTGAAAATTCTAAAAATAAAATAAAAAAGTAAATATTTTGGTATCTTCAGAATATCCAACTTGTATTATAATTTCTAATTCCAGCTAAAAACCTTTTTAGAAGAGTTCAACTACGGTAGCGAGCATAGTTTTAATCACCGGTTTTGCTTGTGGAATCATAATTGGGGCTATTTCGGCTATAACGAAATTTTTTAAAGGTACATAATTATAATTTTAGAAGACGTTCATAAAACATTTAATAACTAATCAATTAAAAAAAGTATACCATTAATATTGCAAATTATATTTTATCCTCTCAAGAGCTAGCAACGTTTTCGAGAAAGTATTTTAAAACGTCTGGCTCTTTGATATATTATCTTTTACTATGCTCTCTGGAACAGCATGCGGCCCAGATCCTATATTTTTTATTAATTTGGTCCTATAAATTCTAGTATTGAATATACATCGAACATGTCTCCATAGCGCAGTGCGTAGAGTTTCCCACCACGAACCGGTGATTCAGAGTTCGAATCCGGGTCAGGTCAAAGACTTTTTTATCTTTTTTTCGTTTATATTCTGATAGTAAAGTATTAAATAATTCTGGTAATTAAATACAAACAAATATTTTTTTTTAAATTTTATATTTATTAGATTTATACTATGTAAATGAAGTTATTATAAGTTTCCTGAATAAAAACTGAAAAATGTAAAGTTCTAGGTAATTGTTTAACATTAGTCTTCACTTTTTGTAAGATTCTACTCAGAGTTAAGGTTTCCAATTTTCGGGATAGCTATAATACCGGGATTGATGATTGAGATTATCAGAATGAGACATTTAATCTAAAGAAATGCTTAATAACAACGCAGCTGCATATATATCAAAAAGAAAATGAGAAAGATCTTTATTAAAATAGGCAAAACAAAGTTAACATTCATATTTAATAAGTAAAAAATACAATTCCTGTTGCAAAAAAAATAAAATATAGCAAACACGGAAATGTAACTTTTAAATATTGACATTCTGCTTCGTACAAATAAAATATAATCTTTGATAGACGTATAAACTATATTTTTCGACATTTTCGGGATCCAGAGATTTAGAGGATAAACATACATCGCGATCCCGAGACTTTGAAAACGAAGTTTTATTTATAAAAAATTTAATTTGGTAATAGTTTCGAGAGACCAAATTCAACTTTTATTGATTTTTCTATAGCTCGAATTTGGGGTGTATTAAATTAAAAAAGGTACCCTCAGAGAAAGAAGGGAACATAGGGCTTTTTAGGGCTATTAAGTCATAAAACTTTCCGACAAGTTTTAACAGGGTAGAACACGCTTCTCAATGTGCTAATTTGATATTGTTGTACGTAATTCCAGCTAATTACAAGACGCTTTGGTTTATACTTTTATATTTGAAGTGAATATATCAATAACGTGTATTTTGTATGACATTTTTATTGTAATATGTATCCTATAGTATGTTCCCGAATTGTCTTTACAAGAGGAAAAAAAAAACTTTTTTATTATTGACATTTTAATATACATTCTTCATAAAAAAAATTACTTCTTCTAAAATGGTTAATCCAGTTTATATTGTTCCAAATTTCTACGGCGTTTTAGAGAAAATTTAAAAAAAATGGTAAAAAAATTGAAAAATGGAATTTTTTTGATTTTATAATTTTCGATCAGCATTGTTTATACATAGTTTATTGGGATGTGCCCTATTTTTTTTAATTTATTATTATTTAGTTAATCTTTCAAAAAATGACTAATTTTTTAATATACAGTATGTCCCCAGATTGCCTTTAGAGGAAGAAAAACTTTATTATTGACATTTTGAGAAAAAACAATTATTCATAAAACATTTTCCTTGTTCTAAAATGGTTAATCCCGTTTATACTTTCTAAATTTCCATACCGTTTTAGAGAAAATTAAAAAAAAAACATGAAAATATACCTAGTTGATTTTTTCAAAGTCCTAAAAAGCAAAAGCTTTTTTGCCTTTTTGTGGTAATACAATTTAGATTCCAATCTCTGATAGATGGTTATCATTAATTTTTATTAACGTCATATTTTTGAAGGATTTGAAGGACATGTTTGAACTAGTGTAGTTTGAAATGTTGAAAAAGTAATAAATTAAAAAATAGTTTTTTACGTGTAACAAACAGATTTTTATGCGTAAAAAATAGTTTATTACGCGTAAAAATAGTTTTTTATGTGTAACAAATAGTCCTATACGCGTAAAATAAAAAATTAATAAATAATTTGATTCACTTACACAAAATTTGTATTAAAATATCAATATTTTCTATAAACACGTGGACTGCTCGCAAATACACGTCGCGTCACTATGCAATTCAAAGCTGTAGGCTATCCTTACCACTAGCTTCTGAGTCACGGCCGTCTCGCTGACTCGTGTGTCACGACCTTGAATTTTTAATCCCAGCGCGCGTAAAGAAATTTCACTTCAAAAAACAGGTGAGATGTAACTTATAAAAAAGCAAAACCTTCAAAGCCTCACCCTGTAAATAAACAAATGGGTTGTTTATTTACAAGCTTCCAGCCTCCAGGTTGTATCATCAAATTTCTTAAAACTCCTCTATGCTCGCTTATTTCTTTGAAAATGTACCTTTGAATTTCAATAAGATTTAAAACTTATAAAAAGCAAAACCTTCAAAGCCTCACCCTGTAAATAAACAAACGTGTTGTTTATTTACAAGCTTTCAGCCTCCAGGTTGTACCATCAAATTTCTTAAAACTCCTCTATGCTCGCTTATTTCTTTGAAAATGTACCTTTCTATTTCAATAAGATTTAAAACTTACAAAAAGCAAAACCTTCAAAGCCTCACCCTGTAAATAAACAAACGTGTTGTTTATTTACAAGCTTTCAGTCTCCAGGTTGTACCATCAAATTTCTTAAAACTCCTCTATGCTCGTTTATTTCTTTGAAAATGTACATTTCTATTTCAATAAGATTTAAAACTTATAAAAAGCAAAATCTTCAAAGCCTCACCCTGTAAATAAACAAATGTGTTGTTTATTTACAAGCTTTCAGCCCCCAGGTTGTACTAACAAATATCTTAAAATCCTCTATGCTAACTTATTTCTCCGAAAATGTACCTTCCTATTTCAATAAGATTTAAAACTTCTACAATAAAAAAATAATAGTATTATAAAAACTTACCTCTGGATCGCTAGAAGAAAAATGATAAGTTTCGGCATCGTCCGACAAACTCGCCACTTCGTACTCAAACTCCAGTTCGTACTTGTCCAAGTCCGAGTCGTCCTGCGTTTCCGTATCCGAGGTATCCCTCACCACATCTAAAATTGTTTATTAGAAAATGCCTTAAATGTGCCCTCCCGCACAAGTAAGTCCAGGCAAATCCTACCAGTTTCCTTGTCCTGTAGACTATAAATGCTCTCCGTGTCATCTTCGGATGCCTTCGAGCTTTCGCTAGCCAGCCGAAAATAGTAACTTCTCGGCCGTTTTAGCTCTTTTATGTCCAATTCCAAGTCGTCATCTCTTGGTCTCTTTCTCCAGGGAGAGTCTGTTTAAGAAAAAATATATTGGTTTATTAAAAAAATGTATTTATTATGATATATCCAACAGACATTACTTTTAATGCTTGTAAATATGCTGAAATTACAGTTTAATCTAGTTATTTATACTTTATTATCAGTTGAGATTAAAACAATAATAGCTTTCAACATTACTGTATCAATTGTGTTTAATACAGTGCAATTCTGCTATAAATACTCTGATTAAATTTCAAGATTGTTTTTCAATATGGAAAAAAATGTCTAATTTACATAGAAACCACGTTTCTTATAAAATATAATAAAATACAAGTCTCGTGCAATTTATACCTACTTTTACGTACAAATAAAAGCCTATATATTTAATGATAATAGGTAAATTAATTTAAATTACAAGGACCTTTAAACATTTAAAAAATAGGTTATGTAAATATAAATAATAGAAATATTTTTAAGGTTCATCAATAATAAGTTTGTAAAAGAGTCGTTGGTAATAGATTAGTACCGAGTAAAACATATTCGTGGATGAAATAAAAGAAACATTTGATATCTTGAAAAATATAAAATGGGCATGCATGGGGGTCATATGGTGAAGTATGTAAAATTTGTTTACAAATATTTGGTACGTTTAATAGAACACTTTATAGAAGAAAAACACTATTAAAACCTAGAAGTAACATACCTGAAGATCTCTCTACCGTAGTGGACATATTTAATTTTGACTAGAAAACGTTTTCACTACTTCGATTGCATTTTGATAAAATAGACGCGTACAAACTTGTATGAACGCAAGTAGATTTTCCAAGAAAGATCTCCGGAAATTACCCGCCTATGTGACATAACAGTCATGCGCAGAACGAAATTACCAGTTATTTTCGATGGAAATCACCAGAAATGATTCAAATGTTCCCGCTATTCGGAGAATTTCGCTTAATCATCCGCATAATCGTTTATCCTTTTGTGTGATATTTAGATTTTCTGTGTGATATTTCGATTTGCGATTCTACGTTAGCAATAATTTTATTTTATCTCCTAAATAGATAGAAATATTTTTAATTATTTTTAACCGAGTCTATTTTAATTTAGGTTGGTGCTTCTTCAAGCTTGAAGTAAGGTGTCAAATATGTCAGCTGTTTAATTTTTCCTTCCATATTTTATTGACGGTTGTTGATAGTTTACTAAATAAACTTTTTTTACTGAAATAGTTTTAATGGTAGTTTTGAATATTTAAGATGCCGTTGGCTAATTCTGTTGAGCCATGGAAAATTCAACACGCCGATACCGAGGTAAGAATCGGATGACAAGCGAACAAAAACATTTGCTCGATTTTGGTCCCATATTTTTTATGTTAATGTTTTTTTTTTCTCATATATAGCACTCAGGCTCTTATAATTTGTTGAATTTGTAACAGGTTTATTAATTTGCAGCACTTGGAGTATCCAGATCCTTAAGAATTCTGTCTGTACGTAAATAATTTATCTGTTATAATTTATGTTTTTCTTTTGGCCAATCTCACTCAAGTGCATATTACTTTATTTTGCATGCGTTATTATTGTTGATATTTAGTTATCTTCGGGTCACAGGAGGTGCAGGTATATTATATATACTAAGGCACACTATACACACAGGGCTTTGGTTGTTTTGCTGCTTGTAAAGACGATACAGAACTTTACAAACCTTCTCACCACATATTATGTAGCTTATATTTTGAAAAATTTTCCTTTAATGTATCATACTTTGTGTTTATATAATTTACTTTGGTAAGGTAACTTTATGTACCTATATCCTTATCATAATTTATTACACAAAAATACAAATCAATACCACAGTCAATACCTTGTTTATGAAATTGGTATATTTTTCCTTAGTTCAACTAAAAGGATATCTGATCTATAATTAATTTAACACGTTCGCTACCAAGTGGCTCATATATGCGCCACAAGGATTTTTCTCATAGACCAGCGTCACACATTTGAGCCGTGGTTTCTACTGTACTAAATGATGAACAAAATATTAACGTTCGCAGATAGCGGTTTGTGCTTTGCATGTGGTCTATAGGAAAGTGTGGCGCATATCTGAGTCGCATGGTCTGTGCTTTGCTTCCACCGTTAGTAGAAACTGAGTGTCAACCGGTACAACATAACATCCGAATTGTGCTGTGCTTTATTCTTGTTTTTAGTCCATGTAAGTGTTTTTTGTTTTACATATTATTAGGTATGGTATTTTGTATGATAATTCTACTAGAAAACAAAAAAAAATCATTATTACCACAAAGAAAATAAAACGTGCTGGAAAAGTGAGGTTACGTCACAAAATATTTTCCATTTTAGGCGCACGCTGTATTTCAAAGGTTTTTCGTCAATCTCGTTGTTTTTCTCTCAATTTCGTATGTTTGCTACATATTTACTCGTAACACGCGTAATAATATTCCCTTTGATGTTGTTTCAGTGTTTAGCTGGGATGGCTAAAAGAACATTTCTAAGCGAGAAAGACCTTCAAGAAGAGGCCGACAAAATTATGAACTCAGAAAATAATGAAAATCTTTCTCAGATGCTGGAACCTGATGAAATTCCAGAAATGTTTTCAGATTCTGGAAGTAGCTACAAGCCTTCATCAGAATCGGGTTCTAGTGTGGAACATTGTCCAAGTAGTGACTCGGAACATTTTAGTGATGAACCACATAGCGACCTTGATGAAAATGTTCCTGATAATGAACCAACGAATAATCAAGACGATATCGATAGTGACTGGGTCGAAATTGACGGTGAACCAGAGATTTTCGATTTTCTAGAAATCGAAGGGTTGAAAGTAAATATTTTAGAAAGCTCTACTGTCAGATATATATTTGAACTATTGTTTGATGACAACTTATTTGAAAAAATTTGTGAATGGATCAATCTACGTGCACTGTCAGTTATAGGCAATGTAATACCGAAGCATTCTACAATGAATAAATGGAAACCAATAACTCCTGATGAATTCCGCCGTTTTCTCGCATTATGTATGCTAATGGGGAACATAAAAATGCCCAACGTTAAGTGCTACTGGAGTAGGAATCCACTGTATGCCCACCCAATATTTGGAAATACAATGTCAAGAAATAGATTCGAACAAATTTTACGGTGTTTATGTTTTACCAAAAAAGATGATATAAAAACTTCTCGTTTACATAAAATTGAACAAGTTGCAGACCATCTTTTTGAAAACATACGACAGGTCTTATATCCTGGAAAAAACCTTTCCCTAGATGAAGCTTTGCTACTTTGGCGTGGACGATTGATATTTCGTCAGTATATTCCTAATAAGAGTGCAAAATATGGAATAAAATTGTATGAGCTTTGCACCCCTGACGGCTTTGTTTTAGAATGTCTGGTTTATACTGGGAAAGACACAGTTAACAATGAGACTGGCCATGCACAAGCTGTAGTAACAAAACTAGCTGAGCGATATTTTGGGAAAGGTCACACATTGTACTTGGACAATTATTACAACAGTGTAACTCTTGCAGAATTTCTTTATGAAAAAAAAACTCATGTGGTAGGAACATTGAGAAAAAACCGGAAGGGGAACCCAAAAGTAGTAGTTAACTACAAATTACGCAAAGGAGAGAGCATTTTCCGAAAAAAGAAAAATTTGATGGTCTTGAAGTGGAAGGACAAGCGCGACGTACTCATGATAACGACGTTGCATGGACCTGGATCTGAAAAAACTACTAATAAACGAGGGGCCGAACAAGAGAAACCGAGTGTTGTGGTTGACTATAACAAACATATGTCCGGTGTGGACAGGAGTGACCAAATGCTCTCATATTATACGACACCCAGAAAAACTATTAGGTGGTACCTAAAACTATTTTTCCATTTTGTAGACATATGCTTATGGAATGGTACATATTTGCACAACGTTGCTAAGAAAAAAAAAATTACGTACCTTGAATTCAGGGAGCTGCTGATACATGACTACCTTCAAGTTCAACTTCCATCAAGGAAAAGTCAGGTGAAACATTCATCTCATTATCCCAAAAAAACAGAAAAACGAAGAAGATGCCGAATTTGTTCCTCAAAAAAGAAAAGGTCACTGACATTTTTTCTTTGCGAGAAATGTAAAGACAAAGATGGAAAAGTGATTGGGCTGTGTGTAGATCCATGTTTTCGGGAGTATCACGAAGGCAGCCAGTAGATGATCTTTAGTATTTATGTCATTAGAAGTTTTTTTTTTGTTTTTTTTTGTGAGTTTCTTGATTTTGTTTGTTCTTGTGTTATCAGAATACTTTATTTTAAATGTAAAGACAAAGATGGAAAAATGATTGGGCTGTGTGTAGATCCATGTTTTCGGGAGTATCACGAAGGCAGCCAGTAGATAATCTTTAGTATTTATGTCATTAGAAGTTTTTTTTTGTTTTTTTTTGTGAGTTTCTTGTTTTTGTTTGTTCTTGTGTTATCAGAATACATTATTTTGTTCGTGTTTTGAAAGAAATAGAGTTTATTTACTTATATTTGTTAGTTTTATTACGTCTCATATTTGCGACATATGGTCTATGATATTTCCAGTCATGCTATAGACCAGCGTCACATATATGAGCCGGATCAAAAAATCCTACAGGAATTGCATATTTTCCTCTCATATTGGATATATTACAATCAGAGAAGGTTTATTTCTTCTAATTTGTCATAATCTATATATGGTCCAGCAGGACGAAACATAAGAACAGCCCTGGTAGCGAACGTGTTAATAATGACTTTTTGATTGTATAGAGGCACTAGAACGTCTACTCACCTGTTGCTTCTCAATTTACTAAAAGAATGTTGTACTTAATTAGATTTAGAATTTGATGAATTTTTTTAATACTTTGAAAGTGTAGATTTTTTATGTTTCTTTTTAGTCTCAATCTGGCGATGGGGAAGAGGCAGGCACATCTGAAGATGTGCCAGGAACATCAGCTGAAGGGGAACATGAAATTGAACTGGGCGAGGTAAACTATAGTATGATTTAAATAGATTTTATTGTAACTAAATGTGTGATAAAGGTTGTTAGAAATGGACACGATAAGGCAGATCCATCCCAGTTTGATTTGCTCAAAGTGCTCGGGGAGGGATCTTTTGGAAAAGTATTTCTTGTCCGTAAGATAGTTGGGAGTGATGCAGGAGCGCTGTACGCCATGAAAGTATTGAAGAAAGCCACATTAAAGGTAAGTGTTTTATTTTTTACAGTAGTGTTTTTACTTCTGTAAAACTACATAAGTAATACTTCTAATAAGGGTAGTAAAGAATTTAAGCCTCTGCCAAGGCTTTCACCAAGGAGTTAATGGCAACAACATGGCTAATACTATAAACAAGAATAGATAGGGGCATCAAAATCAATCTATCAGCTATTGTATATATGTGTATCACTATGCTTTTTGTTTAAATAATAGCTCTTCTATTTTTTTTCTCAACAAATTAAGTTTAAAATATTTCTTTGTGATTTATTGTAAAAATTGTGATTATCTCTCATTGTTTATCATATGTTTTTTTTCTCCTGTTTATAATTAATATTTTTAAATTTTGTGCCTCCTAATTAAATCACAATGGAGATAATTGTAGTACTCTAGATATACATATGGCTGTATAGTTAAAAAATTTTACTAAATATCTTAATTTTTTTAAAGTGGCTTTTAAATATGTGAAGATAAATATAAAGGCTAGGATTTTTTTCATAAATATTTTTTTTTCATCAAGAATTTTACTCATCTTTAGTGATTGGCTAAAATAAACGTGAAAAATAAGGACCCAACCACATTTTGGTGCTGTAATGTGGTAGAAAAATGAAAATGACTATTATAGGTAGGGGGGTAAGTTAGCATAAATGTCTAGAAAATTCTATTTTCAAGACATTTTCTCTAACTTACCCTCTTCTAACAAAAAGCTACACTACATAGAAGTGAAATTTAGCGCTATCATACGACAATTAAATGAAAACAAAAACAAGAATTATTTATGCTAATATACAGGGTGGCACCTCATACGACGCGGAGGCGAACGCATCCAAGGAGAACGGTAGCTTATATTGAAAGCGTTTTATTAAAATATATAGAGTTATACTGGGTGTCCTCCAAAAAAGTTACACATCAAAGTTGTGTTTGTTGTAATGGAATAACCTAAATATTAATTGATGTTTGGATTCTAGGAAAAAAGTAAAGGTGAGAATCATTAAAGAGGCATATTACTAAAATTTAATGTTTTTGACATATATTTCACATTTTGTGAAAATGAAGAATGAATAAACAAATTTCAATATCAACCACCTAAATTGTAATTTACCCTGTATAGCGTGATATTTAGGCTAAATAGCTATATTGTAATAAACCAAATTAAAATTAGACCCGAAAAATTCAAAAGCAAGTTACTCTTTTATTTTAAGTATAACACCCAGTATATTATTTTGATATTCAATGGAGAATTCATATTTCTTCAAATTACTATTAAGGTTGCCTACCTCTGAGACAAAGATTTTCCGACATTATTTAATTTTTATGATTTAGCGTCTGTAGAGTAGATCTTTATTATTTGATAAAATCTAGGTATGTAGCTGGTGATATGCATTTCGTTAATTTAACAAAAAATAAAGGATTTAGAGTAAAATATTCAACTGCAATAAAAACAAACACGTTTGAAACATATTTTTATTATTACAGAATTAAAACTAGATATGTAAACTTGACAAAAATTAGCTAGATGAAATCAAATGGCGGTCTTAAAATGCTTCCTTTCTTATTCCCTCAATAAAATAATTCTATTTTCTAATAATGTTCTATTATTGGGGATTTTTTTTTAATTTCTCGAAAACTTGGCCTTTGAGGCAATTTTTAAAACCCTAGGGGGACATCTGACCCTCATTGTCCCCTCTTGGTGACACTTTTGCTTATAATATGGTCTATTTATGTCTTAGGTTAGAGACAGGTATCGTACAAAAATGGAACGAAACATTCTAGTCGAGGTGGAGCATCCCTTCATTATAAAGCTACATTACGCTTTCCAAACAGCCGGAAAACTCTACCTTATTTTAGATTTCCTTCGAGGTGGCGATCTATTTTCCCGACTAAGCAGAGAAGTAACATTTTTAACTTAAAATTATCAAAATATTAATAAAAATCAACTTTTCTTAGGTTATGTTCACAGAGGAGGACGTTAAGTTCTATCTAGCCGAACTAGCTCTAGCGCTAAACCACCTGCACTCGGTGGGGATAATCTACAGGGACCTAAAGCCGGAAAATATTTTACTGGACGCTGAAGGTCACATCGCTTTGACCGATTTCGGTCTGTCAAAGTTGCCCTTGGACGAGGGCAAAGCTTATAGTTTTTGCGGCACTGTAAGTTTCTCTCTTTTGTTTATCCATTCTAAAGTAGTCTCTGTAATTAGTTGTTACGCTCGGTTGGTTTTGACTCGTTTGGCTAGTTTTATCATGCTAATTGAGTGCCTACATTAACTCGAATTTGTAGGTATTAGTTAAGTTTTAATCATCTGCTGATGATACTACTTGGTTAGCGAAAGGCGTGTATACCGAGTGCGTTTCAAAAGTGGCTCACCCCTATAACTTTTTTATTTTTTCAGATAATAAAACGAGATTTGGTTTGTTAGTATATCACCTAAATTAGGATTGATTGACATATTCAATTGTTTTTGGTCACTTCATGTATCACCGGAAATGACTACAACTTTTGATTTTTAAATGGCACCCTCGGTATATTTTTACTTTTTTACTTTTTTATAGAAAATGACACTCTCAATAGAGTGACATTTCATATGTCAACTTTTGACATTTTCACTTAAAAAAAGCTTATTTTAAATTTCAATCTAGAGTGCCATGGCTGTGTTAAAAACACTAATTTTTAATCAAGCAGCCTTGGAAAAATAGATTTGATCCGCTAATGTTTTTTGTGTCTTGTCATGGCTGTTTAAAAAATCGTATTTTTAATGATATCCCAAACAGAACGAGAGTGGCTCATTAGCATATTTGGAAAAAGCATTTTTTACAAATAATTTGGTCCACACACTTGGTATTTCGAGTCATATTGTCGTTATGAACCGCATGTTATTCAAATAAACCATAGGCGAAAATGTCAAAAGTTGACATAATATGATATGTCATTCTATTCAGAGTGTCATTTTCTATCGAATAAAGTAAAAATATACCGAGAGTGCCATTTAAAATTCAAAAGTTGTAGTCATTTCCGGTGAAACAGGAAGTGACCAAAAACAATTGAATACGGCAATCAATGCTAATATATGTCATATACTAACGTACCAAATTTCGTTTTTTTTATCTGAAAAAATAAAAAAGTTATAGGGGTGAACCGGTTTCGAGACGCACCCGGTATATAAAAATAGTATTTCAATTTTTCTTTAGTTTCTTTATTCAAATGTAACTCGACGCCTTTTTTTTTCATCATATGCCATTTTTCAGGTTGAATATATGGCACCCGAAGTTGTTAATAGGAAAGGGCATTCCTTCGCTGCCGATTGGTGGTCTTTTGGCGTTTTAATGTACGAAATGCTAACCGGGACGCTTCCCTTTCAAGGCCAAAACAGAAAAGATACCATGACGCAAATTTTAAAGGCGAAATTGGGCATGCCCTCGCACCTGAGTCCCGAGGCTCAGAGTCTACTCAGAGCTTTGTTTAAAAGAAATCCAGCAAACAGGTTAGCTATTTCTGTTATTTGTTCACACTGGGGTTGAAAAAATATGTCTATTTATTTTTAAACAAATCATGTATATTTTATGGTTTTAGACTCTAACATATTGTAGGAACTAATCAGTTTTCAAATTTTTTATTTTTATTTACTTTATTGTACATTTGTATTCATCTTAGGCTAGGTGCTGGAACGGGGGGCGCCGAAGACCTGAAAAAACACGAATTTTTTGCCACCATAGATTTTGAGGCTGTGCTCGGCAAGAAAATTCGTCCTCCCCTGAGGCCGGTGTGCGGTCCTGAAGACGCTTACTTCGATCCAGAATATACAAGCAGGACGCCAAAGGATTCCCCGGGGGTGCCGGCCAGTGCCAACGCTCATGAACTCTTTAGAGGGTAAGTTTGTTTAATTATTTGTTGAAACAAAACCAGTGCAAGCTTGAGCGGTAAGCTTTGTGCGATGCTGCTCTAGTGGTGTTTTACTGCTGGTATTATGCCGCTCTATAGTGGTATTTTACTAGTAAAACAAATTTGCCTGAACCGGCAAAAAATGCTCAACGTTTCAGGAGGTATACCAAAAAAGTTTATAGATAATTTTGAATTTTCTCTCTTTAGTTTTAGTTTCGTTGCTCCGTGTTTATTAGAAAACGGGACGACGGTTTACAAAAAGTATATGGAGGCGCCTATGAAGTCTTTCAGGCCGCAGGAGCGTAACTTTTTCGACGAGTACGTTTTGCAGGAAATTTTAGGTGCCGGCAGTTACAGCGTGTGCAAATTGGCCAGGCACAAACCGACAGGTCAGCAGTACGCGGTAAAGGTGAGACAAATTTAAATCACAAACGTATATTTTTTTTCTAAAGAACCTTCTATTTTTAATAGAATATTTCCTGTTTGTAAATAAACGAATATAATAAATTCAGAAACAAACGTATCTGAAATACGAATATCGTATAATCGAAAGAAAACGGCATCACAGTTCCCTTTCAAATGTGAATGCATGATAATTTTCGTAAATCCGAATCTTATACACTCACACATAAAGGTACCTACTTACCTCGTTCGTCGTTTTTAACCGATGCGCGACGGTTAAAAACGTTCGAGTAAAAATGTCGCAAAAAACGAAGTGTATGGGTAAAAAGGTCGTTTTTGCACGTCGCCGTCGTTTCAGAATTAAAGCAAGGCTTGATTCTTGTCGATTATCCTACAAACCGTTCAGGTAAATACGAGATGTGTGGCCTCAATAGTTTGACCGGCCGTGCATTTTGCAGCGACAGTGACGTTCGGCATTTTTTTGCTATTTATTTGTTAGAAAAGGTTTATAACAATAAAATATCCATGAAGTTCAATAAAAGGATTGATTTATTAAAATGTATAGAACTTTAACGGCCATTTCCCTAGGTGTGGAAAGGTAAATCAGCAAAACTACGACCTAATCAAGAAATACAAGGCTTATGAAGCGCATTCCTGATGAAGTATAGTATTTCGGAACTCAATTGGAAATACCGGTGCCCTTATTTTTTTTTTATCTAAACGATTCCGACAAAGACAGTGCCGAAACAAGCCCGAATCCCAACGTATTCCAATTGATTTCGGAAAAACTATACACAGAAGGGAATAATGGTGCAATAGTAAAATCAGTAAGTCATAATTGATTCCCAACGTTTTTCTATTTTTTGTGTATGGACTTATTAGTCAACATTCGTTCCTCCAACGTTTTTAACCAACGGTTAAAAACGACAGAAAAGAACGAGGTGAGTGGGGTTCTTAAGCTCTAAACCAAACAAAATCACATGAGATTTTTTTATTGCTCGATTTAGACAAAATTTAATTTTTGTGTTAATTTTTGCTTTGAATTGGACCAAAAACGACATAAAAAATTTAACACTGTTCTCGGGTATCAACATTTATCGGTTCAAGAATATACTTATATTTGTTTATATTAGACCCTTCCAATTTCTCAGATTTGTTTTTAGATTTTTTTAAATATTCTATCTGTAGTGGCGTAAAACTAAACAAAATCGAGAGTTTGTTTTGGTTTGAAAACAAGAGTTTTGATAAAGTGACATTGAATTTTTGGAGAAAAAAAAACTAAATAAACTGCATCTGCTAAAGGATGTTTAAACAGTAATTTGCATAATATAAATAATCTAATATGCATTATAGAATTTATAAGCACAGAGTATTTTTAAAATCTATTAAAGATAATTTTTGTTTCTATTTTTTTGAGAATTAAGACAAATCTTTGAAAAATATTACCTTTTTTTAAACATAATCTAAATACACACAACCAAACTTATATCGAATCATTCTTTATTTCTCACTAAATTTATTGCAAGGATAAAAATTGGTATACAACTTTAAGATAAAGTTTTTTGTTGTAAATAAACATGATAGTAAAGAATAAATGACTGCTGCTATTTATTTTCTTTTGAATTTTGTGTTCAGTAGTAAAATCACGATTGTCCGGTAATTTTCATTCAATCCAAAAAAATTAAAAAATGCGTTATGTTGGATTAACAGATTTACAGAGGGGAAGAAATATGCCTCTCGCCGAACAAGGTATGCTCCAGCAAGACGTAGCAGAGATAGTAGGCGTTACCCAGGGTGTTGTATCGAAAACATATGGAAGATACTTGGAATTAGGAACACACAAGGATAGGCCCAGGCAAAGTCGTCAAAGAGTCACAGCTGAACAACAAGACCGCCTTGTGTGCTAAATTGCTAGAATAAATCCCAATGTTTCTCATCCAGAGCTACAAAGACAACAAGTGTGAACGTTTCAGTTGAAACAATCAGAAAAAGGCTTCGTGCACGAGGGTTTTACAATAGGAAAGAGTTACGGAACCCACAGTTATCTCGGCAAAATAAAATTGACCGGTTAAATTGACGCCTTCAACATCAAAACTGGGCAACTGAGAATTGGCGAAATGTTCCTTTTTCGGATGAGACCAGAATTAGCCTAAGATCAGATAACCATCGAATTCGGGTTCTCAGAGCTCCAGAAAAACGAGCGAGACTTCAGGCTGCCAAATCTGTACCAAGAGATAAAGGAGGAGCTGTAATGTTCTGAGGAGGTATTATACTGGGAGCAAAAACTCCATTATTACCACTTCAACAAATTTTAACGGGTCGGAGATATGTTGATTCGGTGCTAGAATCAATCGTAAGTCTTTGGAGAGCTACAATTGGGGATAATTTTAACTTCATGCACGATAGTACACCTCCCCATACCAGCAGAGTGACTAGAGAATGTCTTGAAACGGAGTGTCATAGTTTTGAACTGGCTTGCCTATTTACCAGATCTAAACCCTATCGAACACTTGTGGGACTAGCTCAAAAGAAGGGTTAGAGCTCGTCGAAACAATCAAGGAAATCTCGCACAGCTTATTGATGCAGCATTAGCAGAATGGGAAAAAATACCCCAAGATTACGTGGATAATTTAATAAGAAGCATGCCAGCGTGGATAGAAGCTTGCATAACGGCTAGAGGTGGCAACAAGGAATATTAAAATTATCAATTTTCTTTTTGTTTATGCTTTTTGGCCATTAAAAATTTAAATCTTAATTTCGTTTCAGAAACCAAAAAAATACCATTTTGTTTATTTTGGGAACTGATTAATTTTTTTATTGCTATATGGATTATTTTTCATTAAAAGTCATTGGTAAGGACTGAGTTTATTCATAAACACAAAATTTTCATACATCTCAAAAATTATGAAAAATAATAGATGATTCCATAAAGTTTGGTTGTGTGTAAATAAAACAAAGTCGGGTTAGTTACACCATTTATAACTCAGTAACGACTGGACCGATTTTAATGATCTGTGATCTATTGATCTCCCCCTCAAATAGCAGAATAACCATTAAAATATCGAAAAAATTAACGAAAAAAAATATACAGAAAATTATTTTTTAAATAAATTAGTTCCGTCATCTATCGCAATTCAAAGCTCCCGTCACGTACGCTTATAGCTTATGTGTATAATTGATTTAACAGGATTTAACAGGATAATTGATTTAGCAGTTTCTTACGTTTTACAGATAATAAACAAAGAGCTCTGCGACTGTCGCGAAGAAATAGAAATCCTTCTAAGATACGGTCAGTATCCAGGCATTGTAAATTTGAAATCCGTATATGATGAACCGACAAAAATTTATCTAGTAATGCAACTGCTTAAAGGCGGTGATCTTTTAGATTATATGATGTCTAAGGTAAGAATATTGTTTTTTTTTCATTAACACAAAAGACCGAAAGAATACTTTTCTAGGTTAAGTTAACTGAACAGGAATCGGCGGTGATATTGAAAAGCCTTGCCACGACAGTGGCGTACCTGCACGAGAACGGAGTTGTACATAGGGATTTGAAGCCTACAAATATTTTATTTTTAAGCGAAACCGGTCGTCCTGACGGTATCAAAATCTGTGATATGGGATTTGCCAAACAGGTAGGTTTTTAAAAACTGTGTCTAAAGCTTCGTCTAGACACAACGTTTTACCTTACCTGTTCAGTCAAAACGTATCAAGTAAAACATTGTGTGTAAACGAAAGAATGGACATTTTACTAGAAACTGAACTAAAGGCGGATTTTAGTGCGTCCGATATCCGACTATATATTGTATATCGTATATCCGTTGTATATCCCTATTGGATCACAAGACACTTTTTGTTTTGAATAAGTTTTTAAAATACGCTGTACCATTATGTTTTTGTTTTTGAAATAATATAAAATATAATAGAATTGTCTAATTACTAATTATAACTTGAATTGTGAATTTTAATATTTTAACTATCTCTGACAATAACTAACTTTTTGTTATCAAGATAACATTTTAGACGGCAACTGACATACAGGGTGGCCCATCGAAAACGTTCCGCAAGGCATAACGGCCAGGGTAATTTTTTTTTCAGAAAAATCAAAGACATGTCAATTTTGTTTGTGAGGGGGACAACTTTTGCCCCAAAAATGATTGCAAAATCTTCAACCCTCTAAGCGGGGGTGTCATCCCCCAATTTTTTTCAAATGGGAAGGGGGGTCGAGTGGTACCGCAATGAAAAGGGCTTTCTATTATATACTTTCCGGCTTCGTTTTTGAAAATCGGCCGAGTCATTGAGAAAATATGAAGGATTGAAATTTGAAAAGTTTATTTAAACATTTATCAGAGTAAATGATAAGGATAAATTCCTTCGACCAATTTGCTGTTTTTTCTTATTATTTCTAGATGTTTACTCATTTTTTCACTTGGCACAAGGTTGAACGATCAGGTGCGGTAATTTCTAGATAGCTGTTGTGTGACTTATGCGTTTAAGTTCTTCTCAATATCGTTAAATTTTTTAACAATTATGGTATACTCACTTGCAGAAAAAGTGGAAATAATCGAACTTTATTTTAAAAATAATGAATATGGCAATCGGGTTGCGCAGATATTCACTGAACGCCATCCTGTCGACCACCTTTATGGCAAAATTGTTCGCGAGTTAGTAGCAAAATTTCGCGAAACTGGTTCCATTATGAATGAAAAGAGGCACAGGGAAAATCTTGTAGTAAATAAAGCTATGGAGGTATTCGTATTGGGCCAAATTGCCATGGATAGTACGCTGAGTACAAGAAAATTAGCCAATGAGATCGGCGTGAATCGTACAAGTGTCCAAAGGATATCAAAAAAACGCAAGTTCCACCTGTACAAAATTCAGTTGGTACAACGAAGACGATTTTGATCGTCGCTTGCAATTTTGTGAAACTATGAGTGAACGAGTGGCGAATGATAATAATTTCCTATTTAATGTGTGTTTTTTGGATGAGTGTACTTTCTTTTTGAACGGTGTAGTTAATCGGCATAACTGTCGGTACTGGGCTGAGGACAACCCCAGGGTTTTTCACGAGGTGCACACACAAAACCCTCAGAAATTGAACGTGTGGGCTGGTATTTTTGGAAATTCTATTGTGGGTCAGTTTAACAATATTGAGAAGAACTTCAACGCACAAGACACAGAACAGCTATCTATAGCAACTACCGCACCTGATCGTTCAACCTTGTGGCAAGTGAAAAAATGCGTAAACATCTAGAAATAATAAGAAAAAACCTCAAATTGGTCGAAGGAATGTATCCTTATCATTTACTCTAATAAATGTTTAAATAAAATTTTCAAATTTCAATCTTTCATATTTCCTCAATGACTCGACCGATTTTCAAAAACGAGGCCGGGAAATATAGAGAATAGAAAGCTCTTTTCGTTGCGGCGCCACTTGACCCCCCTTTCCATTTGAAAAAAGTTGGGGGATGACACCCCCGCTCAGAGGGTTGAAGATTTCGCAATCATTTTTGGGGCAAAGGTTGTCCCCCTCACAAACAAAATCGACGTGTTTTTGGATTTTTTGAAAAAAAAAATACCCTGGCCGTTATGCCTTGCGGAACGTTTTCGATGGGCCACCCTGTATATGTCATAATATTTTAATTTTAAAATTTAAATAGGTATGTAATATAATTTAAATTAACAAAATGCTTTGAAATTAATAAAAAACTTTACTAAGAAAACATTTATACATTCACAAAATACAACAAAATCTAATAATATAGTTTGAAAACAATGAAAATTGAATTAAAATTGAAAAATGTTAAGCGCGACCTCTTGTGTCAACATTAGATGATTAAATTTTCACAATTTTTGCACTATTTGATGACCGGTGGCGCACTCTAGTGTTTGTTCGCACGGTTACTAATATTTTACTCTCGTTTATGATCGTTGAATAAAAAGTTCTAAAGGGGGATGTTTTGTGTATTGGATACTGCGAATCGCTTGTGATTGGTCAAAAATATTTGACAATGACAATTCACAATTTAGTTCCAATTGTTATGTTTTGTTCTTATTTTTATCATGATTTTCATGGTTTCATTTCAATCCTTTGGTCTCGTTATTCAGCGTTTAATTAATTTTTTTTTCAAGCGTCACAAAAGTATTAATTTTTGCGACGTGACTGACAATATAAAAAAGTCATTTTAACGCCTAGGCATAAAACTTAAGCACTTTTACGCCTAAGCACAAAATTACGAAAATATATTATTAAACTGACATAAAGTGTCAAATTCAACGAGCGTAACCATAGTTTCTCGATATATAATTACATACAAGGTATTACTTTTAAATATTTTTATATTATTAGGAACGCTTGAAATTGTTTAACAAATTATTTGTGGCGTTTGAAAAAAAATAGCATGTTCTATTCGGAGTAAAAATGACTTTTTGTGCCCTCGCCTGTATGTGAAACGTACAGCATCGACACAGAAAGTGTAATTTTTACTCCTAATAAAACAATATACTATTTTTGATTATATTTATCGTATTCTTTTTAGCTTAGAGCTGATAATGGATTGCTTATGACGCCTTGTTATACAGCAAACTACGTAGCACCAGAAGTTTTAAAGCGCCAAGGTAGGTAAAAGGTACCTTTTATATTTTAGGTCACACTACAATAGTAGCTTACTTATACATGGTCGGCAAAAAAGCGTTTTGTGTCGGTATTTACACGTCTAGAAGTGAATCATGACTATCTTGTAAGTCTGAGAGAGAGATGCGAAGCGTTTATTGTCTTAACTACTTAATTCGACATTTATTTCATTGAATCACATATAAAAAATTATTTAAAATAAGTGATTAAAATTTGATTTTTTGTCTTAACTAGGATATGACGCTGCTTGTGATATTTGGTCTTTAGGCATCATCTTGTACATTATGTTATCCGGACACTGTCCGTTTAGTCATAAGGCCGACGATAGTCCCCAAACAGTCCTACAAAGGATAAGTTCAGGCAGACTGGACCTGCACGTAATAAAAAACACTTTTTAGAAAAATGTTCTATATATTAATGATGATTTTTGTTTGTTATAGGGTAAGCAATGGGTGGGTGTTTCCAATGACGCGAAGATGCTGGTGACTGATATGTTGCACATAGCTCCCCAAAGACGGCCTACAGCAGCGCAGCTCGCGAAGCATCCCTGGATTAATGCTCAAGCTGAGATGTACTATGCTCAACAGGTAAGATAACAGTAGTTCATATGTACCGTCTGTTTTGATATAATAATAATAATATATGCCTTTATTGAGAAAAAGATATAGATAATACATAGAAGAAAAAGAGATTAAATACGAAAATTTCAGTGCCTTGACCCGGCGCGGCGCAGTTTAGCTCAATAGCTATAGTAAACGCCACGAATGTTTGGGAGTGATTCATCGGTTGATGAAGTTAGAATCGACACGCGCGCTATCATTTTTACATTAAAAACGTAAATTTTTACCGCAGACGTAGGTTTTTAAAGGCCCGGTCTAATCATCTGCCTGCGCTCCTCCTACTTATTCTAAAATGTTAGCGTGATTGACAAAGACGATACTATATCGCGTTTCTTTGATTGATTCGTTTTTGTGCGTCAGTCCATTGGTGTGCTTGCAGTGCGACCAATGGGGCATTCCATTTTATTTTTATAACCAAATATATGTTTTGACAAGACTTTGACAGTTAAAACAACAAATTACAACAGATTATATATTGATTATTATAGGACTTGAAACACACCACGGCACTGGAATTAAGTTTTAAGTGACCTTGAACAGATTAGTTCACATGATAGCGACCGATGAATCGCTCCGAAACATTCGTGGCGTCTATTATACTCTACTATGTCGAATATCGTGATGTGTTGTGACAATTTATTATTATTGTGAGCAGTCGTTCAAATGTACCATCGGTCCTAAGACAATGAACACAGCTTACTAAGACGTTTGAGCAGTAGTTCATATGTATCGACTGTCCTAATATAATGGACACAGCCTTAATAAGAACTTTAAACACTAGTTCAAATGTACCATCTGTTCTGATATCATGAAAACAACTAGAGATGAGCAACAAATCGCAAACTGCGATTTAATCGCAGCCTCTTGAAAATCGCAATCGCAACCTGCGATTGGCTTTCATAAGACGCTGCGACTGCGATTTCTTCTACTTGCGAGTTTCGATTTAGGCTACCAATATTACTATAGTTGCGATTTGCGATTTTGTTGCTATTGTGATTTTGTAAACTAGGACCGTGATAACCTTCTATCTGCGAGTTTGAATTTTTACGAGTTGTGATTTGTAATTTTGTGGCTCATTAAAGCATTTTATGGTAAATATATTTATTTATAGAGAAAGTATTATTTTTGTAGGGCCAAGATCATAATATACCGGGTGTTTCTCAAGAGTGGTTCGCCAACTTTTTGTAAGCATATGACATAAATTAGGATTGACTGGCGTATTCAATTCGATTCGATCACTTCCTGTTTCACCGGAAATAACTACAACTTTCGAGTTCTAAATGGCACCCTCCGTAATTTTTACTTTATTCGATACAAAATGACACTGAATAGAATGCCTAGGACAATATTTAAATATTAAAATCGCAATCGCAGGTTACAGTCGCAGCGATTTAAAAATCGCAATCGCGGTTTCAATTGCGATTGGAGAATCGCAGTTTTGCTCATCTCTAAAAACAACTTAATATTATTATTGTGAGCAGTGGTTGAAATGTACGTCGACCCTAATACAATGAACGCAATTTACTAAGATTTTTAAGCAGTAGTTCAAATGTACCGCCTGCTCTAATACAATGAACACGGCTCACTAAGATTTTTAAGCAGTAGTTCAAATGTACCGCACGTCCTAATACAAAGATCGCGGCACACTAAGTTTTTGAGCAGTTGTTCAAATATACCGCCGGCTTTAATACAATGAACACAGCTTACTAAGCTTTTGAGCAGTAGTTCAAATTTACCACCTGTCCTAATAGAATGAACGCGGCTTACTAAGATTTTTGGGCTGTAGTTCAAATATACCACATGTCCTAATACAATGAACGCGGCTTACTAAGATTTTTGGGCTGTAGTTCAAATATACCACATGTCCTAATACAATGAACGCGGCTTACTAAGATTTTTCAGCAGTCGTTCAATCAATCAAATGTACCGGGTGTTTTACTCGGCCATATCTCGAAAACAATTTGTTAGTAAAAACTTGCGGTAAAATTTTTTGCTACTAAACTGGCTTGTTGAAAATGCTAAAAATTATTTTCAAGTTCGAAAGTTGGTCGCTAGAGGACGTAACAGGAACTTAAAGTCGACAATATTAATTTTCTCTTAAATTTTCTTAATTGAGGTATATTAAAGATATAACCACTGGTATTTTCGCATCCATCTGATATGTTTTCAACACAAATGAAGCGAATTTACTTATCCCTGACTCTCATAGATTAGTAAGAGCTGACTATTGTTAATAAACAGGGCTCAACTCAACACCAGAACACGATCAACGTAGTCCCTTCTACGCCTCAACCTCAGCCTCAAAGCCACGAACAAAAACCAGAATCTACCGGCGTACACCTAAAAGAAACGGTAGCAGCCACTTTTCGGTAAACCCTCGTTTTCTTAGACAATTTTCGGTTGTTCTAATATTTTTTTTTTGTTTACCGTCAAAAGGGCCATAGCAACATCACCCTTAGTCGCCGATTTAGGTCCAGTGGCCATGTCCGAGCTTGCCAGGAGACGGTTTAGGGACAAGGCGGCCCAAAGAGCCCAACAAGCATCGTCGTAACCCTGTCAATGTCAATCGAGACGCCTGGAGAAGCATCGTTGAACTAATCGAGGTTTGAATTCAAATTGTCAAGGCAAAGCGCATTCTAAATAAGTGTACAACAAGGTTTGTTGTGTACTGAGGTGATCCTAATCGATATTTTGCATTTAATTATGTCGGAGAATGAGTCGTTTGACGTGTTTTTGATGTGTGTGAGGGTTGTGGTCAGGTAAATTATTCTTGTTGAGTAATGGGTGTTGTCAATCGAGAAATGCTTATTCTGTATATTTAGTCTTTAATATTGTATTTGGTGTTGATTGGTTGATCGTCAAAATTTGTTAAACTTTGTCGGCTTTATCCAAAATAGTTTATTTATAAAATGGTCACTGATCAGCGAGTATTCTTTGCAATATGGTTCTTATCGGATATTTTTAAAGACTAATATAGGACATACTGTATATTGCATAAAGTATTTACTAAAGGTAGATTTTCAGGCGTCTGTTATCCCGTTGAAGGTTGGAATCTTTGGAGTTACAACAGCAAAATAAAACAATAATTCACCACAATACACCGAAACACTTTTAAACATTGGACGCGGGTTTCGCTAACCATCTTAGGGCATAATCACCAGATGATTTCAACTAAACTAATATCTAGTAATTTATTTATTATCTACTAATTAGTTTTATTGGTTGAATTTAAGGACTTCGATTAGTTAGAAAACTCGGTAGTTTTTAATTTTATTGCATTTTCGTGTGTTCGTTTATCGGATAATATTAATTGCTCGTGATTGGTCAAAAATATTTAACAATGATAATTCACAAAACAATTCCAATTATCATTTTTTGTTTTTATTTTCGTAAAGGTTTGTGTGAGTGTTACTTATCATATCAACCTATGACGGATGCATGAAAATCCACTGCTGGCAATGTTGCCAAATATATTCACAGATAAGTGACCAGTTTTAATTATTCCGTATTTCTCTCCATTTGGCTGTTCCTTTTAGAGAAAACGTGTTTTTTCAAATACCCCCTTCCATAAACTGAAATAATAATAGAGATATTTTTGTTATTTGATATTTGTAAAAAAATATACATTACCTTGCGTAAATAAAAAAAACATTACGCTTAGATAAACAGTCTTGTTGAACCTTAGATTAGTATTTATTTCCTATAAAAAATAAAAAATCAATTAAAGGGCATAGTATATTTAACCCTAACGTCTGTAGTAGAGAGACGGTCCCTTTGAGCTTAAAACGAGGTCGAGGTGTTACATTCATATCGAAACAATCAGTAGTTAATGTTAAAAATAGTTATAAAATCTCATAAATACGTATAAAAGTTAGAGCTGGATTTATAAACTCTGATAAAAAAACTTGATTCGCTGTTTATGTCAATTTTTTTGACCGTCAACTGAAAGAATAGAATAAACAATCAGCGATGGCTATGAAATGAAGATCGTTATTTTATATGTAAAATTATATACGCCAACTGGACGCCGTTTTTTTTTCGATCATACGGTATATTGTTTTATTAGGAGTAAAAATGATACTTTTTTTGGTGAGGCTGTGCGTTGACGAGACAGGCGAGCCACAAAAAGTAATTTTTGCTCCAATAGAACATGCTATTTTTTTTTCAAACACCACAAATAATTTTTCAAACAATTTCAAACGTTCCAAATAGTATAAAAAATTTAAATGTAATACCTCGTATGTAATTATATATCGAGAAACTATGGTTACGCTCGTTACGTTGAATTTGACACTTTACGTCAGTTTAATAATATATTTTCGTATTTTTGTGCTTAGGCGTAAAAGTACTTTACTTTTATGCCTAGGCGTTAAAAGTGCTTTACTTTTATGCCTAGGCGTTAAAAGTGCTTTACTTTGATGCCTAGGCGTTAAAAGCTTTACTTTTATGCCTAGGCGTTAAAATGACTTTTTTATATTGTCAATCACGTCGCAAAAATTAATACTTTTGTGACGTTTGAAGAAAATGTTTATATGTTTTATATATTTGCGACCAAAATGGGACGTTCTGTACAGGGTGTTCACATATATTTTAGCCAATAGCTTTAAACTGAAAATTTCAAGTTTATAAATTCAGCTTGACGCATTTATATTTCTCTTTCTAAACCTGGCTCAGTGATATATAAAGGAAACTATTTTAAATATTGCCAAAAACTCCTAAAGTAGACGCTAATAATAATGATTACTAAATATTTTGTGCCAGAGAATTTACAATTTAAAAAAATTATTCCTAAATGAGTCATTATTTTTATACATTATATCGAAATATATAAACTCTTTTTTTTCTGAAGCTTTTTATTTGTTTTGGCTGGACGATATATGCATAAAAATTATTATATCTCATTGTATAGGGACACTAAAAACTACCTCTAACGTTTAAAGTATTTTTATAATAAGGCTATAACATTTTTGTTAAATCTTTGAGGTAATTTTTAGTGTCGGGGATTCTCTTTAAGTAACTCTCAAATTCTTGTGGTATTAGTATACAGTTAAATTTATATACTGTTGCTGTATAGGGTGTCGCGACTAAAAAATCTTTCTATTTTCAATCGTTGTTTTTATGTTTAACGCCAGTAATTTTCAAAATTTTTGTTCTATGTATATTATATGAAAATTAATAATTTATATACGTAAATAATTAGGATATTTCAGCTGACTTAGATATAAAAACAATGATTTTATTTTCCGTACATTCCAAACAAACTCTCACCGACCTCTCTGTTTATTTGATCACCCTGTATAGCCTAAAAGTCAATTTTTGTATTTAAATAAATAAAAAACTATTTTAAAACGCGTACTTGTGATCGCATTAAGTGTTCTACTTAAATTATATTTTTATACTGTAGCCTCTCTTTTATTCGTTACCGTACTTTTGTTACATACTATATACTATACAGGGTGTGCCAAAAAGTGCATAACAAATGGGAAATTTTATTATTATTGAGTCGTTGAGAAAAAAATTTTACAGAATTTCTTCAGCATGTCCAATAACAATAAAAAAAATAATTTGACATATGTCATATTTTAAAAGTCATGACAGTTACGTTATTGACAGAACTGTCATAGCGACAAGTCCGAAAAATAAAAAGGCGTTTCTAACGTAATATAATTTCGATTTCAATCTTTGATAGGTTATTATTAATTTTGATTAACATCATATTTTTTGCTGTCATTAGTGTGTACCAAAGGTGTGTACTATCACCCTTTCTGTAGCATTGAACTAAATAAATGTTATGCTTCTTTAACATTTTAAAACAGCAAAAAATATGACGTTAATTAAAATTCTAACAACAAGAATCTATCAAAGAATGAAAACGAGATTATACTACCATGGAAACGCGTTTTGGACTTCTTAGGACAAAATTGAACCGTATTTTCATGTTTATTCTAATTTACTCTAAAACTGTATGGAAATTTGGAAAAGTTTAATCGGGATTAACCATTTTAGAACAAGCAAATTTTTTTATGAAGAATGCATTTTTCTCCAAATGTCAATGATGATAAAAAAGTTTTTCCTTTTGAAAAGACAATCCCGAGACATACTGTAGATCAGTCAAATAGATAATCAATCAAATGGAAAGGTTGAATTTAATTTTACTTCTATGTACTAATTTTTATAAATATACAGGGCGTTTAAATTTATTCAATTATAGTCCTTGTATATTTATGAAACTTACTTCAAAAACTTTTCTGTTTGACTTTTTTAGATATTTTGTTACTTAACCCTACTTTTTATTTTATTACCGAATTTTTATAAATGACAGGGTGATCTCATGACATGTCAATTTTTTTTTGTTATTGGGCGTGGCTAAAGGAATTCCACATAAACTTATTTTCAAACTTCAACTCAGTATTAAAATGATCTCGTTTGATGCTAACTTTTTGCCACCCCCTGTATCTACGCTTTTGCTACCATTGTTTCCTTCTTGCTTTGTTGTTGTAGGTAAATGCGTGTGCTTAATTTATTACAGGTTATAACTGACATATTTTGAATGCATTAAATACCAGTGCGTTATGATTAATAGTTGAATAACTATATTGAACGATTGGTTAAGCTCAAGTGACAGCGCTTTGACATAATATGTAAGTTATAATTTCGTATTTAATGTTATACAGCCAATGTGTGCATATCAGTGTAGTGTGAAAAAAGAGGTATATATCTAACTTTATGAAATACCTTTCTAGTGAATTTATTTATTACAATTTATTTATACTATATCCATTGATATAACTCTACTTTCTTTATGATTCGTAATGTCGCAGTACAGGTTATATACTGCGGTATATATACTATAATATGTAATAAATTATTGTTTATATTTAGCCAGAGTATGTTTGTAAAGTTATACATTGTTATTTTTTAGTAGATCAAAGTAAAAATGTTTACATCCAATTTATTAAACGTTTGTATTTAATACAATTCTGGTATTTTTTATTTACCCATCTTTTGTGCCATTACCTACGTGAAAATAAAGGCCATAATATCGTGACAAGTGTGTTGTTGCAGTTGTGTGTGGATCTGTTTCCACCTTATCAGAAACTCTTTAAATATTTTAGAAATATGTCTCAATACTAGCGTTAAGGGTACTAGTAAAAATATTAAATATTCCGTTATATTATTATGCTCTATAGGCAACTTTGAATAACATATATTTCAATTTGCGGAATAATATACGTTTATATTTAAAACATATTTCTTTATTATAGATAACAGGTTGTAGATATAAAAATAAGTACAGTAATAAAAATATTCTTAAGGTTTTTATTCGATTACTTAAGCTTGAGCAGGAATTGTTGTAGTATTATCTTTTTGCGCGTCCAGTAGTTCTTGTCTTGTCCTTACACACACTAAAAAATATAATATAATGCACTTTCAGATTCCAAATTTATGATAATGTTACCTTTTTTAGAAGGCTCCCATCCTATAAAAGCGTTAGATTTTCTGTTTTCTTCCTCCAGCCATGTTTGGAGTGGTTTAAAATACTCCAGTATACCGCTGGCGTCCATTTTTCTTTGACCAGTAACAACTTCCATTGCCTCGGGCCACGGTTTCGAAGATCCCATAGCCAACATTTGTCTGTTGATAATTTTGGTTGAATAAAAACAGTATAGTATTTTATAGTACGAGAGCTAGCAACGTCTGAAAAACAAGTATTTTAAGAAAACTGGCTCTTTGATATATCTTCTGGCTGCCGATAGACGTTGCATTCACTACTGCGCATTGAAAGAAGATCCCGTTTTTTTTAATTAACTTCTTTAAATTTTAGTATTGAATATAAATTGAATAAGTCTCCATAGCGCGACGCGAAAACGTTCTGCCTACAAAGCGAGAAGTCTAGAGTTCAATACCTGCTCGGGGTAAACTTTTTTTTATTTTATTTTTGTTTATATTCTGAAGTATTAAATAATTGTTTTTTTAATCACCATAATTATTTAATACTTTACTAAAAAAGTTTACTCCGAGCTGGTATTGAACTGTAGACTTCTCGCTTTGTAGGCAGAACGTTTTCGCGTCGCGCTATGGAGACTTGTTCAATTTATATTCAATACTAAAATTAAAAAAAATGGGATCTTCTTTCAATGCGCAGTAGTGAATGCAACGTCTATCGGCAGCCAGACGACGCGCACGCTGTTCCAGAGAGCATAGCAAAAGATATATTTAAGAGTCAGTTTTCTTAAAATACTTTCTCGAAAACGTTGCTAGCTCTTAAACTATTAGTAATATAATAAATAATGGATTAACTCAATTACTAATAATTAGTAAGCAATAATTATTATTACAGCTACGACATATCTGTCAACAGTAGGCAAACGATTTCTTACTTTAAGACATTTCCAGCAGCTTGATTTTGATAAATGTCACATTCGTGTAATGGTTTTTCCAAATTGTTGTGCTCGTATTGGCCGGCTTTTTCGCACAGCGACCTGTGGAACTGGAACTGGATGACAAAACTAATGAAGTACCTGGAACATAAATGTTTCAGGTATTTAGCAGGTTAAATATAAATATGCACGGTATTATAAATACTATTGAATAAGTCTAGTGAAGGAGCATACCAATAAAATAAGTGCGACAGCGGAGGTACTAACTTAAATTCCAGTTTAACAATATCGATCTATTAAGAGTCTCTTTAGAGACTTAAATACTAAGAGTCCAGTTCACTAGTTCGATAAAGTAGCCAAATAGGCGTTCGGCATTTAACGCTTTCAGTGGCGGCTCGTGGTTATTATTGTAGGGAGGTTAATATCTAAAAATATTGCATCGATTTTTTTTAAGACACGACCAAATTTAATTGGTTTCTTACAAGGTACTTGTACGTTTCGTTAAAGGAAAATAAAGCTAAAAATAAATACAAATTATGTTATCATACTACCCTTACATTTTTAAACAGGTGGTCTAGTGCCATTTCACTAAAAATCCAGTCAATGTCCTTTACACGAATTTTCCACGGTAGGATTTAAAAGACACTTAAATAATAATGTCACAAAAATATAAATACATATATACACATACACATTTCTAAAAGTTTTATTTCACTTTTTTTTATATATTTTAAGTCAATTCTTTCTGTAAACGTTTTTCGAAATTTAAGCAATTATTGTTTTCTTTTAACCGCACGATTTTACAAACTAAACACCATAATATGTTGTCTATTTGAAAATATCTATTCCAGAATCAGTCAACAAGAGTTCATCATTTATCCAGAACCAGAAAATTATGAATTATTTCCTACACAAATTTCGCGCTGCATCTCAAACCCTCGGCTACGACAAAGCTATATAGCAACTAAAACTAAATTTTTTTTCGATATTAAAAATTTAAATATTGATTTATATTGACTAAACCAAACATACACGATACGCGATAAACGAGGTGGTTTTATAATTTGAGTTTTTATGAACACCCAAACTGCCCACATGGCGAAATTTTTCCACCGATTTGACTGAAATGCAGAAATGAGCATTGACCATTTGACCTCATGGTTAAGCTGTACTGAACGTTTTATGTAAAACTGGCTAGGTATTTTTACACAAATGAAGAAGGAAATTAAAGATAAAGGATTATACTATATCCGTATTGTAGCGCATTTTTAGATAACTTCTTTATTTTTAAGATTTTGATGGTCAAATATCAACAAAATATACTTTATGTTTGGGCTAAATTTTCTCGAAAATAAAGAAATAATTAAAATTCCGTTATAATATCCAGAAAGAATATTGTTGTAGAGAAATAAGTTTTGTGATTACAGTGATATATAATTTATATGGTTTTGTAACAAATGCCTCGCTATTTTATGGAAAATGCTGAAGCTCTGCAAGCCGTAATCAAAGCACGTGTGTTTGGGATTTTGGGGCTAAGCTTTAGTCAGATTTCTGAAATATAATACATATTTCCTTCGGCCACACACCCACTTTATCCGACCCCCGAGAGCGACATGAACAGTACAGCCGTAATAGACTCCTTAAATCTATAATAAATAGAGATAATACATTACTTTTATACCTCAAATATGGTACATCGGCGATAATGTGGTACTTTCCAGCTGGGTCGAAATCTTCCTCGCTCCTATCCACTGGCGGTTCGACTCCTTGGTACTTTTCCCTCAGTTCCCACCATTTGCAATTGTAGTCTTCGGGTTTGGTTTTGCCGGAAAATACGTCCCACCGCCACAAGTCCATCAAGTACCCGAATGGTAGGAAAGTGATTTTGGATAAACCCAGCTAAAAAAATACTCAATCATTATTTACTATGTAGGTATATAGTTATTTTTTATACAAGACGATAAAATGGTATTTTATCGTCGACCAAAAGATAAAATGCAATTTTATCTTCGTGTATAAAACAATATTTTATTCCATTGCGAGTTACGGTTTAAAAAATATTCAGAAATTATTATTTCAAGGAATTTATTATGAGTAGAAAAATATTGTGCTGGGTTGGCGTTGGTTTCTATGTAATTTGACAAATAAATAAAGCTGTCTCTTTAGTTGTCAGTTTTGAGTCAATATTTTTTAATCCTCTTTCGTGTCGATTGCTGATTGAATTGGAGCCAGAAATGCCTCAAAACGAAATAAGTAAATTACCAACAGATATTCAGGCTGAGGCGACAAACGCCATATCCGAACTACTTCCATTTAAATCTCGAATAACTTATGAAAAGGAATACAAAAATTTTCAAAACTGGAAGCAATTAAAAAATGTGCGAGAAGAAATAAAGTTTTTAACCTATCCTCGCTGTTAAAGTATCATTTAATCTACCCTTGCGGTTAAAGTACTATTTTATCTACTATTTTTGATAGGTATAAGGCAATTTTAACAGTTGTTATTGAAAAAATACATAAAGTGTTTATTTATTATTACTTGGTGTTATACAAATTAATCATAATACATCAAAGCAGATTGATAAAAAAGAAATCATATAGTAGCAGTAGATCGTTAAGACTAATAAAGTTTATAGATTTTGCTATTTTGCCTATATCGTACCTTAAACAAATTATTAAGTACTTGTTTGGGATCATCTTTCTCGCTGTGTACCAATCCAATCTTCCTTAAATGTTTGGTACTTTCAACTGAAAGAGCTATAAGATCTCCGATAGCTTCATGGAAACCTGAGGAGAATTTAAAAAATAAATTTACTTATGAATTATAAATTACAAGATTATTATTACCATCGTTAGCTCCTTCTCTGAATTTAACTGGCTGGTCTTTGTACTGTAGGAAGTATTCAATGTGACCCATTTCGTGATGGGCTGTGATAAAATGTTCACCGGTTACTTCAGTGCATTGTTTAATCCTGAAGGAAAAAAATGCTCTTGATTTAGTTAGTTTTAACAAAGGACTTGCTTCAGAAATTCCTTGACGATAAGCGATAAGATTATATCGAATTGCAAGAGAGATTCATTGATGCTTCAGTCTGAGGAAGATTGCTCTCTGTCTATCTTGACGATTCCATATACAGGGGGAGTGCAAATATTTTTAGGGATATTATCCCTAATTTCGACACAAAAAAAAACACGCCTATGAGGTCGAACCAATTGACTTACCTAAAGTCTTTTTGGTCGAAGAAGTCCCACGCTGAAGCGTGGCAAACTATTTCCCTGTCCGATGGCTTCTCCAAGACGGAATTGTTCCAGAATGTTTCTGGCATCTCTGATAAATTTATCGATTTAAAGAACTCCTCTGCTGTCCTGAATATCTTCGTGGCTGTATAATTCTGTAAACTGTTTATTTCAGTATCATTTTCATACTATACGGTACAATTTCCAATAATTTTGTAGTTTTAGAAACATGTTTTGAATAATATAATAAATAGAAAATGAAAAAAGAAATTAAAACAAAGTTTACTTTCTCCCAAAAAATCCTTTATGGGTATTTCGCCACTGCACTGCAAGAAATCAACGTCAACGGTTTCTTGTAGACGTATCTGTTTTAAAAAACTAAAGTGTTCTCGAATAGTTGAATTTAAATATTTTAAATAGTTTTTTTCTTTATTCTTTATTTTTTTTGCTTCCGACGACGGAAAGAGATAAACTTTTCGAAACGTTAAGCATTTTTTTCTTTGTTACGAAATTTGTACTAGAATTTTTTTTAGAATTTAGAATGAGTGGGAGGGGGGTTAATCACTTCGACCTTACAGATCCATTGTGTCCCCCTTTCTTGAATCATAACTCATCATACAGTCCCAGGGCTTTGACAAAAGCCAGTATCTGGGACGGTTTTATAGAGGGTAGTTCTCCATCTCCAATATCAGTCGTACCAAAATTCATGGCACGAATGGTTGTCATCTCGGCGCACTCAGTGATGAGGTGTACTGGTGTTTCCCCATCTTCCCCACAGAATCTGCATTCGCCGTTTCTTCTTAGTTTCAATCTACTGAGGTGTTCGTTGAGGAGACAGTGTCCTGTTAAAAACCCCGTGACAATCCGAAGATTGTTCTTACTCAGACCCAGGAAGATCTGTGATTTTTCTTCATCATAAGCCCTCAGAAACTTCTTCGAGTGTCTTAGACCATTGGAAAATTTCCATTCCAGGTTGCGGATGGAATCTTCCAAGTTCTTGAGTTCCGCCTTGAGTTGGTTACCACTTGGAAAGCAGAACGGTTCTGGTTCAGTTAGTGGAGTGTTCGCTGCTTTCCTAGCTAGATTATTTGCTTTTTCATTGCCTTCTATCCCTTGGTGAGCAGGCACCCAGTGTAGGAGGACTTTGTTTTCTTTGCCTAATTTATTCAGCTTCTCTATGCATTCTTTGACCAATTTCGAATTGATTGATACTGAGTTGATCGCCTTTAACGCTGCTTGACTATCAGACAAGATGGCTATTTTTGTTTCCGATAGTTCCTATCTAAGATAAGTTGTACGCATCTCTCGATAGCGTAGATTTCTGCCTGTAGGATACTAGGGTAAGTGCCCATTGGTCGGAGTAATTAGCTCTCGGCCCAAACACTCCGATCCCTGTTCCCGTATTGGTTTTGGAAGCATCAGTATACCAAGTTATGGTATGGTCTTTTAACTGCTGGGCAAGCGTTTCGCTCTTCCAATCCTTCTTATTGCTCAATACTACATTGACATGTTTGTCAAAGTTGTACGTTCTTGGCATATCGTCCACTAGGAGAATTTGTACTATAAATAAGTACTGTAATAATGAGTACTGTAAACATAACTTCTGACAAGCAGTGTCCGTTTAGGTTTAACGCAGAAGTGTTTTTTTTTATTTTATTTCTACAAAATAAAAAATAACTATATTATTTTGTAGATTTTCTTGCAGTGCAGTGGCGAAATACCCGTAAAGGATTTTTTTTGGAGAGATGAATCCGCCACATAGGTATAGACTAAAATTTACTTTATTACTATTACAACTAAGTAAAAAAAAAAATGATTTCGAAAAAGATAATTTAAAAACATGCTATCAAAAATTTAGTGATGTTTTCTCTGTATCCTAAATTTATTTTTTTCTATCTATGAATCTATGCACTAAACAGATATTTAAGTTTTTTAGTCATTTAACATCTCCATTTTCAGGCAAAAACGTAAATACAAGAATTTGAAAATATGTCTCAAATATAGATTTTTTTATTAGAATTTACATTTTAATCGTTAAAGTTTTTTTGTATTTAGAAAGATGGATTATAGGATTTAGTTTTATCAATAATACAGACATCTGCTTCAGTGGTGCAGGGTCCACCCCAGGTACTGCCCATTTGCTGGGCACCCCCGAGAAATCTTGAATTTTGACTGAATTATGACTCTTGGCTAAATATTAATTTTCAATCGATTGTGATGTAGTAAAAATTACTTTTTCTAGTTTTGTATAGTTAATGTTATTTAGTTTTGTTCAAAAAATGAGCGGTAGTTTTAATTTTTTTACATAATTTGTATGTATTTAAGAAATCCACGAAAATACGAGTTGGTAACCAAGTCTGTCAAATTTATTGATAGAAAAATTCATGTAAACTTGAAGGTAGAGTGGTTTAAGTTGCTCCCACAAACAAACAATTTCAAAAATTGTGTTTATTTTATAATATTGTTATTATTCATTATTTAAAAAACAAAAACCCACCCTGGGTTCAACCTTAGGCCCCCCCCAGGATGAATTCCTAGTTACGCTAATGCTGGTAGGGGGTTATCTCTATGAATTAAGTATCATGATTTTCTAAAGAAACTACAGAAAACTTGCAGCTTACAAACTAAGGAGATGAAAATTATTGGAATTATACTGTATAGTCATAATCAAAACAAGTATGATGTTAATTACAAACCTGCTTTTTTAGTTCTTCTGTTAAATTTTCGTCTTTTGCGTCTGGATAGGGCAGCATGAAATCAGCTACATTGCTCCAGGATTGTGCCCACATGTTTCCTAAAAATTGTTTGACATTATTTTTCTAATATACAGGATGTTCCTCAATGATCTGGTAATATTCAAGGACGTGATTATTGGATCTATTCCAAGGAAAAAAACTTGAAAATTAATATATTATGCCATAAATATCTTAACTTTTGAGATACAGGGTGGTAATTTTTTTATTTTTTTTTATGTAAAATAACTCTGATGTTATAGGTAGATATTTCAAAGGTAGATATCTTCAGGGGCGGGAAAGTGAAATAGCAAAAGCGGTTCCACCGTTTCCACCTTTGAATAAGAAGAATAAGGAAGGAGCATAATGCTATCCATGTATTCATGCATGGTGGGCGGAAAAGCCACCATAAAAGCTCTCTAGGGTGGGGATCCTTGACAGTTCTGTTTGACGATTCATTTGACACATTTGAATTTGATTTGAAATTTTGTGGATTTGTCAGTCTTTACGGAGCTTATTTTATGTTATTTATTATTTATTCTACTACTGATAGTTGTATAAAGGTAGTAAATCTAGATGGAAATTGTGGCAGAACTTAAATTAACAGTGACACTATCGCGATTTATCGAAAAAGACTCTAAAATAGTTGGTTGTGTAGCGTGCGGTAGATCTCGGCGAAAATTGAGTGAAATAATGGAACAACTTTTCGCTAGTAAGTGACTATATAATATACATACGTGTAGTAAACCGATCATTTATGAAATTCACTTAAATTAACTAAATTATATATTTTTCTTGCATTTTAGCTTTTATTTATTACTTGTCAAAGATTAGATACGTTAATTTGACTTACCTGCTTCAGTAGCGTATCGGATGTTTGTGTTAATAAATACTTATTATAACTTATCTATTTTTATTAGAATTATATATTTTTATAACAATTTTAATAACTACCAACATTTATTCACAACGTAAAATAAAACAACAAATTATTGAGTCTACCCCACGTCTACCCTACATCATAGTTTTACATTTTTTAAATAAAATTAGAACGACACTGATAAACCGGATTTAAGTCGGCCATATTTGAGGCCCATCGCGGTGTACCTAAGATTTTTGATATGCTCCTTCCTTAGTCTTCTTATTCAAAGGTTTCCACGGAAATCTCAAATAAAATAGTTCCAGCCCTAGCCACTAGGTGGTAGTGCAATTAATTTTTAGGTTAAGAAGTTGCTACTAGTTATTGCCAGATGGCGTTAAATCAGAATTTTTTTGTAGTTTCCATAGTTTCCAACGGCCATTGTCATATTATTGTCAAATTCTCAAAAAATATTGTCGTTGTCATAGCAACAATCATAATATTATCAAATAAATGATTATCAAAATGTTTTTCAAACTATAATTTGTTATATGTGTTTTAATTAGACAATTCCTTTTGTTTGTGGCCCTAAAAATATAATGTAAGTCTTTTATTTTTGCTTTCATTTAAGTACCTATTTATTATATTTACTCCATTTACAAAACTTTGGGCGTATTACGTTGGTCTTGTTTTATTATAATAAACGATGTTTAAATATTTGACTTATAAATGAAAACTTTAAATAATAAATAATATTTCACATGTTTGGCTTTAATTTTATTTAATAATCGTATAAATTATACTGTTAAATCTTATTTTTTACACATCACAACGATACTTGTTATTAGTATTGTTGAATTTGTGTAAAAAAATAAGATTTAATAATCAAATTTAATTATTTTAGAGTAAAATTCAATAAATAAGCTCATTTAAAAAGCCCGCGCTTCGACCCATTTAAAACAATCCCTACTCAATAGATGGCGCCACTTCTGTAGGACCATTTTTCAGTATGGAGTCCATTCTTTTTCTAGCTAGGTATATTCTTTGGATACCTTTATGAAATGTGATACACGGTGTTCTATGCATAAAAATGAATGTTTTTCATCAGTCACCGCATCAGATTTTAAGCGATCTGAACCTAAAGTAAAACTTTACTTTACTTTAGGGTCAGTTCAGAGTCAAATTTTATTTTTTAAGCTGTTTTGGACGAAAAAAAATCAAGAAATGATAATTGTTAGATTTTGAATGAAAATTTTGACAATAATGTCTATTTTAAGAAAAGTCAGTGGCGTATCATTTTTTCTTCAAAAATATTCAATGTAAAACACGTATGGAGGCCACTGGGTGAAATAAATAAAAAAAATGCATGTACGTGTATCAAGTTTTATAAAGATCTGTATAATATAATATCAGAGATATAAAAAAAGTTTTTTTTAAAAAAATGTTTACCACCTTGTTTAAGCCCTCAAAAGTTAAGATGTTTAGCATATACCGGGTGCATCTCAAAAGTGGCTCACCCCTATAACTTTTTTATTTCTTCGGTTAAAAATACGAGATTTGGTATGTTAGTATATGACATAAATTAGGATTGACCGACGTATTTTGTAATTGTTTTCGGTCACTTCCTGTTTCACCGGAAATGACTACAACTTTTGATTTTTAAATGGCACTTTCGGTATTTTTTTACTTTATTCGATAGAAAATAACACTCTCAATAGAATGACATATCACGACGTCAACTTTTGACATTTTCGCATATGGTTTATTTGAAATTCTAGCTTGCGGTTTTTATCTGAAAAAATAAAAAAGTTATAGGGGGTAAGCCACTTTTGAGACGCACCCGGTATATGAATATGAATTTTTTTTTCTTAGAATGGGTCCGAGAAACACACTCTTAAATATTAGCATGTCATTAAGGAACACTTTGTATTGAAATATGAATTTTAGATTTCTATCGCCTTAATTCCAATATTTTTTTCTTTAAACATAACAAAAGACAAGATTCATATTACGCCTGCCAGTTGGTTGAAGAATGGAGAGTTCTTATAATAGTATTAATTTATTATTGGACAGGTTAAATAAATAATAAGAAGTAAAAAGTAGAAAATGCGTACCCAACAGATGCATGGGTATGGGTCCTTTTTCACTAACGATTTCACCATATTTTCCCCTTAGTTTTGTGCGCACGTAAGCATGGATCTGAAGGTAGAGTGGTTTAAGTTGCTCCCACAAACTCTGGATTTGCGATTTAAAATTGGGATCCTCGTAATCATCAAGCCAGTATTCAGAAACGTCTGTGAAGTTGTTCAATCTGGCTGCCTCATTTGTCAGATTTACATATTGCTAAAAAAGAGACGCATTCAATATTCATTTAACCCTAATACAAAACATATTTCTGGCGTTTTTATAACGACGATATTGGACTTCCTCGCACTAATGGGCTACCCTGTATGTATGTTATAGTAAAAAACATACTAAGTTTATACCTCATATAGTAGTCTGCATTTAGGCCCTACAGCATTCCTCCATTCCAACCAAACGTGTTTCAGTTCTTCGGGGTTTCTTGAAGTGGCCAGAATATTAGTCAGCTCTATAGAAAAAAAATACTTATCTATAACAACTATTTAAACGTTTTAAACAATAACAACAGGCACTTATCACAGGAACAATTATTTAACCATTTAAACAGGAATTTAGGTAGGTAATTTTGGTTTAAATCAGGAAATTCTTCTTGGTAAATTATGATATGTATACACGTATATAAATGAACTAATTAGTGATGAGCTACACTAGAACTGCCCTGATAGAATTCTTTATTCGTTTTTGAGAATTTATTATTAGTTTTTAAAATACAGAAAGGAATTCTTGACAAAGATGTCCTATTAATTGTTATCTAGAAGAGTTATTCTTCAAAGCACCCAGCTCATAATATACGCAGTGTCCTAATGAAGTGTAGCTATTTACTAGAACTATCCGGATCCTACTACTGTATAATTATTATACCAGTAGTAGGTTAGGAATAGAAGAATATTGAAGCTTGCATAGCTAAGTATACAGGGTGGTCCGAACTGTATTCCGGAAACTTCGGCAGCATATTCTGCAGATAAAAATAACTAAAAAAAGTTCGTATAAATGTATGTCCTAAAAGACTTAGTTTCGGAGATACAGAATGTGGAAGTTTCATTTTTATTTCGATTTTTTCCAAATAATTTCTGAAGGAAGTTTTTTGACATGAGAAATTTGATTTTGATGTCAATATGACTCCTCAATATGACTCCTATTTGTAGGGTCACCTACTATATTACTGTAGGTATTATATTTATATTATTATACTTTATAGGGTCACCTACTGTATTTGTACTGTTTGACCAGCGGATCTGAAGCTACGGAAGGAATGCGAGAAAAAAAAATCGATATTGCCACGTTTATCTATAAAATTGCAAAATTGCCAGACATGAACTATAAATTTAATATATTTTTATTATATATAATGTGTTTAGCATATATTCTGACGTATATTACTAAGGAATTTTAACGTAGTTCATATTGTTCGATATGTTTTATTTAATGACTTATTTCTTTCATTCTGTATAATCTGCTTATTATGAAAGTTGAAGATTTTTCAACGATATCATTGGCAAACCGGCATCGCCGCGCATGGCCGCCTATTCATCGAACATGATTGGCGAGAGTACGTCACAGGATTTGTTAACACGCGGTTGCCATGGCTTTTACTACTTTCCTATTCGCTTGCTTTATCCCCAACTTCACGGTCTCTTCTGAAAAGAGTAGGAATATTGAATACTATTGAAATATCCAGTGGCGGTGTCATTTTTTTGATCATTATTACTTTATTTCATTATTTTATACCGGTTATCCTAAACTTTATTCCTATATTTTTCGTATATTTGATAGTTAAGTTGTGTTTTATTGTTTTGTTATCTTGTTATAATGTTTTTCGTTCGTAGTTTTTAATTATTAATATCAAGTTTGATCGTATATTTGTGTTTTAAAATGAATAAATTTGTTAAGGGTAAGACGCTACATAGTCAGACAAGAGAAATAATAGCTAATTTATATAGGTAAGTTAATAATAACGTGGATGGAATCTCATTTGGTTTATTTCCTTGTGTTCATAATAGGGTTTGCGATGAAGAAGCTACAGAGAGTTCGCTTAAGTTGCCGCTTAAACGTAAACTTGTGCGGATATTTCTTTATACCGGAGTTAGCGTATCGGCTACAAAAAAATTCACATAGAAGATAAAAAAAGGCTGAAAACTAACCCCGATAAAATGATATCCAGCTCTGGAAAGAAACCACCACGTGAGACTGCTGTCGAAAAGCTCGACGACTTTTTTGAAGTGGTCAGGAATTTGATAAATAGATTTTATCTTGAATTCAAACTCGTCCCCGCAATTAGAAAGCTTTTGCAAAAATTGCAGGAAGAATCGAATTTTCCTTTTGCAGGGAAACGCTTAGGGGGTTATTAAAATCAAATTAATTTTTTTGGCGTAAATGTTAAAATAACAGATAAATATTAATGGAGCGGCCCATTATATTGCAGAGAGAGATATAAATATATTCGAAAATATAGCCAAGTATTATCTATTTGGATGAAACATATGGGTAGACAATGACCTAACCTTTAAAAACTGCTGGCGGAGCGATACCATATCTGGTGTAATAGCGTTGATTGAAGGAAATAAGTCTAGCAGTTCTTTCAATCAACGGTAATAGGCAATATTGGATCTACTGGTGAGTAAAATTATGTTTTGTTTGCGCTTCCAAAGTTAACTATTTTCAAGATTTTTTTTGCTGGAAATAGTTATATCTAAAATTATGTATTATAGAAAAAAATATAGTTAGTAGGTACAGATATATAAATAAATAGACTCAGTCTTGATCATCTGCTGATGGCAGACATGGTTAGCGAAACGTGCGTCCAGTGTAAAATTAAAAGTGTTTTGGTGTATTGTACTGATTTAGTGTTTTATTTTGCTGTGTAACACCAAAGGTTCCAACCCCCAGCTGTAATTATTTCTTCTATTATATTAACAACACAATAATAAAATGATTCAAAATATTTAAGGGAGTTTTAATAAAAGCTTTTAGTGTTTATCTGCTAACTCAACTCAACAGTAACGATTCAAACAGCATAAAGTTTTTTGAAAAAAATTATTAATCTGAGTATTATATTTATGATACACATTATTTTCATATAACACCGTACGCCCATGCCTATTTTATGAATGAAATTGGGCGTGTTTTGTTTACAACTGCGTTCCCCTGCCGATACCCCGTAGCTACAGATCCGTTGGTCACACTATATAGGTCACCTACATGTGTTTTAACTGGCTTGAAGAGTTATAACTTTTCATCCGTACCTGTATAAAACTACATGTGATTTTTCATGTAAGAAAGTCTCTTGGTAAAAATCACTACAAACAACCGTTCTCAAGATATTTAGAATGGAAATAGTCAATACATGTCATTATTGTCAAAAAAATAAACACGTTGAGTAGATAATTATATGACTGAAATAATTTTATTATTTTTTTATTTTTTTAAATTAATCATAATTTTTTCTGGATGATAAAACAGTTTCTGTTGAACTTTTGACACAAAATCATTTCAAACTTATGATTTCAATCTGATAACTATTTAGTCAACATGTTTAATTTATGTCAATGATGACAGGTATTAATAATTTTGATTCCAAATATCTCGAGAACCATTACTCGTAGCGATTTTTACCAAGAGACCTTTTTTACGTAAAAAACGTCGTAAATGTATATTTTTTACTCAGTAGTTTTATACAGGTACGGACGAAAAGTTATTAGTCTTCAAACTAGTTAAAAAATATATAGGTGGCGCCCTCTACAAGTATGAGTCATACTGACATCAAAATCAAATTTCTCATGTCAAAAAACTCCCAGACACCAATTTTCATGCAAATATTGACGTTACTACAGAAATTATTTGGAAAAAATCGAAATAAAAATGAAACTTCTACACCCTGTGTCTCCGAAACTAAGCCTTTAAGGACACACATTTATTCGAACTTTTTTGCTTATTTTTATTTGCAGAATATGCTGCCGAAGTTTCCGGAATATAATTCGGACCACCCTGTATATTCGGGTCTTCCATGTTATTTTTTGTCCATGTTTTTCCATGTCCTTTTATAACAAAAAAAGCTGAGTTAGATGACGTCGAGAATGTCACGTCGACAATTGAATTGTTGAAGCGTCAACTATGGTGTCGACGTCGACAACTAATAATTTGGTACAAAAATTATAGTTATAGTTAAAGTAAAAGGTTATATGATTAAAACTTAAAACATAGAACAAACATTTATTAAAAACATAGAATAAACATTCTTAGCTAAGGATAAAATAAAAATTATCTTCTACTTCACAGGATAGCCTAAATCAAACAAAATAACCAAAAATGTCCGGAGAAATAGTAAGTAAGTAATCATTAATCAACAATTTTATTGGGTGGAGAATTAATTACTCCTCTACTAATGATAAACCGAACCTTAAACCTGTGCCTGTGACATTCTCGATATTGTCGACATTTACTTCATAGTCGACAGTCGAGTGTCGACGCGTCGATGTCGACAATGAAACTACGACCACAACTCTGCTTATAAGATAATATTTTAGGAAAGAATAGTGAACACTGTGGCCAATGAAGGTGTTATGAGGCTGTGCTAGGCTAAAATATAGTTTATTAACATTAATAAATAAATTACCTGGCTCGAGACCCAGCTTGCATTCCTCTGTCTCCGCTGTTTTAGCTCCAAACGGGCAAATTTTCGCCTTGGAATAGATAGCTTCCATGTCGCTGACGATCTTGTTCAGGTTCTTGAATTTCTCTTCTGGCAAAGCCGAGATACCCAGCACGGAATATTTCTGGAACTGCCTTTTTAAGCTGGGATCGGAGAAGGTTTTCCAGTTGTACTGTATCACTCTTTGCCAGGCTTCCTTTTCATTTTTGGCCACTTCAGCAGCTACAGCCAGCTAAAAACAAATCACAATACTTAGTGATTGAATGAACCGATGTTAGGTATATCAGCGTATCTTGAAGGAATATAATTTCTTTTCTTAGAAAATGTCTATACTTATGTGGCGGATTCATCTCTCCAAAAAAAATCCTTTATGGTTATTTCGCCACTGCACTGCAAGAAAAACAGAGATAGATTTTAACAGAACGTCAACGGTTTCTTGTAGACGTATCTGTTTTAAAAAAAGTAAAGTGTTCTCGAATAGTTGAATTTAAATATTTTAAATAGTTTTTTTCTTTATTCTTTGTATTTTTTTGCTTCCGACGACGGAAAGAGATAAACTTTCAGAAACGTTAATTTTTTTCTTTGTTAGGCAAATTTTTATTACTGTAAACATAACTTCTGACAAGCAGTGTCCGTTTAGGTTTAACGCACAAGTATTTACAAAAAATAACTATTTTATTTTGTAGATTTTTCTTGCAGTGCAGTGGCGAAATATCCATAAAGGATTTTTTTGGAGAGATTTCTTTTCTTCCCTCAATAAAATGCAAAGTTTAATATATTAATTTTTGTATTTTTTAAGACCAATAACACCATTTGCGGGGGAGTCATCCTCTCTATTTTTATCACTTTTGGATAATAATAATAATTTTATGGACACGAATTTAATTGAATAAGAATCGGCAAGAATGATGTTAGGGACGATATTCATGCAGACCAGTTTAATTTTTAGTAATAACTAACAAGTTTACCTGATTTTTTAAGTTTTCTTCTGTCAAATTTGAGGCATAAGCCCAGTTGGCTAGACTTAGTCGATTACTGTCTTTTTCCGTTTGTCTGTTTAACAGGATGAGAAAGTTTCGGGCATTGTATTCCTCCTCTTCAATACTGACATCTTTGGCAATGATAGCGAGTATACAGAAACAACCAATAATAAATATCTTTGGTAACATATTGAGATATAATCTGAAAATGAAATATGTGCAGTAGGTATACAGGGTTTAGAAAAAGCGCGGTTGGGCATCTATAGGTCCTTTAATAATGAATTTCAGAAAAATATGTTTACTTGTATAGATAGGATGGAAGGACAAAAACTACGGGATGTCGTTTTACAAAAGACAATAAATGTAGTAAATATTAAAATATTTTTTTTATATTACAAAAAGGACGAAAAAAATCGGCAGTCGCTGAAGTTATAAAATATTTTTACTAGAATTTATGTATAGTTTTTATAGCTCGTATCATTTATGGGTTTTTGTAAAAATCAAATGTTAAAGCGCTTAGCAAAAAATATGTACTGCCAATATCATTCAAATCGGAATATCGGTTCTTAAAATTTCTTAAAAATCTATTTATTTTTTTGATTCTGGTAGAGATCAACTTTTGGACTTAAAACCATATCTGCTAGAGTAACTACCAAACAGACAATACTAAATTCCTTTATCTATGACTAATATAATTTTTCAAAGACAGTGACATTACATAAATCATAAACACTATTTTATATATAGGACCAATTTAATGTATAAAATACAAAAAACATGTTGATGTCTTCTTCAAAAGCGAATACCTATCTGCAAAAAAAATAAAGCTATTGAGATGAATAAAAAAACAAACTATCGAGAAAAGATATATGTACCTAGAGGATAAAATAATTTTTAAATTCTTTGCTTTGTTAACGTACTACAGAGTGTTTCAAAATATCAACATTTCACCAAATTTCACCAAAATATCAACATTTTGTTTTCCATCGTATACTTAACAGAAGGCAACTTTCATTTTGAATTTAGAAAGAAACACTAAAAAGTCAAATAATTTAGCGACAAATTGCTTGAAAAATCATCAAAATCGGTCTACTAGAACAAAATATATAAAACTTTAAAATACATGAAAATTTTAAGGTGCCCGTTTTTCGTGCCTGTGAGTGTATTTTGAAGGTCTGTTTTAAAAATTCTTTAGAATTACCAAAAAGTGTCCTGAAATTAAATTATGACAGGTGTTTAATGCCAGTGGTTCTGTACTTACTTTATTATAAATCTCGTAATCATAAATTAATAAACCAACGCCGGCCAAAATCGACAAAATATAAAATAATTTTATTTTTCATTACTTTTTAAATAGGGTATCATTATTTATATATTATACTATTTATCTGATCAGAGTATTATCCATTACTAGTTGAAGCCTGGTGCATCCGCCACATCGACATCAGGAAAAAATACTTTTTATGTTTTGTTTAATTAAATGAAAAATAAAAAATCCGGCGATGACAGTTTTTAGAAGAGAGAAGAGCCAATTAGCTATCTTTTAGTAAAATAAGCAAATGAATATTAGATGGTCTGTCTAGACTAGAAAATTTGAACAGCTCTTATGTATTTTTTTTAATTTGAACTGAAATAAATTAAGTATAGGTATAGTTTAAAAAACTACATACCTGATCATTTCACCGAACTTACTTAAATTTTAGAACTACGTAAAACTATTTTTAACGTTAACCGTTAGTTTACATTGACCTGATGAATTTCAACTATTTTCAAAATTAACATAAAAATCCTATTCGTTCTTCTAAAATATACAGGGTGATCCAATACTCCGTGTACCTAGAACTACAAAGAAATCACATTTTTGCTGGTATTTTAATTGTAGCTTTCTCTGGGCCGTGTTATAAAATTTTATTAATTTGAAGTTAGACTTTTGCAAATAACGTCTAAATGCCGAATCCAAACGAAACGAAATTCTAGACGAAAGTACAACTTTAACGCCCCTTCAAGAAAGTATAATACAACTTTTGCATAAAATTATCTGGGGAGATAATATTTAACATTTTCAAAATTTACATGGGATTTCCTATGTCCCGTGTTATGATGTACCACACAGTATATGCCAATGCAACGTTATAAATATTTTTAAACCACCTCAATGTTATTTTGACAGGGACGAATTCATAATAAATTATTGAACGTTGCAGAATACAAATAAATATTGCAAAATTGCCTTTTATTGTATATCCTTTCAATTAGGTCAGTGTGAAACAGAAATTATATAAAAAATGCTGTTGCTCACAGTCCATGACGTGATGACAAGCCAGAATAATTATTATTAAAACTAAAATTCCATAAAAACTGTGTTATATAATTTAGATAATTTTACTATATTATTTTTAATCTGCCAGCAGATATACATGTTAAAAATTGATATTTTGGCTCTTATCAACAGCTGGTTAATTTTTGATATCTTTTTCAAGTTCAAATACGCTTTAAACAAAATGATTAATTAATGGTTTCTGTATTTTTTGGTTTGTAAAAAATGTTATTATTAGATCATCAACAGTTTAAGAAATTAATAATGTATACCGGGTGTTTCCGTATCTATTGAATTTTCATCCAAAACTTTATTTTCCAGTGGAGCAAATATTAAAAAATTTGGGAAAGTTTCCTAGCAGTTGATAATCCCATAATATACCTATTCAGGCTATACAGGGTGTGGTTCATTATTAAATACTGCAAATGTTTTCTGTTAAATTGAAAGTCGTACCGACTTGGTACTATTAAATAACTGATAGGCACAAAATGGTACATTTAAAGATCTACTGTGGTCCTCTTCTAATTGAAGACTACAAACACACAAACAATTGAGACTCCCGGTATATTTACAACTTTGTATTAATACATTTTTTGTATCTGTTTTCCTTTCAACCGTGTAATATTCTGTTATATTAGTAATAATTATACTCAGAAATTATTTAAATATAGTTCATATCAAATAACTTTTAGTATGTGATTATAAGCTTGGCTGGCACAGCGTTGCCCGTTTTTATATACCGGGTGCGTCTCAAAAGTGGCTCACCCCTATTATAAAATAATTATTTTTTTTAGTTAAAAAACGAGATTTGGTATGTTATATTAGTATACGACATAAATTAGGATTGATTGACGTACCTATTCAATTGTTTTCGGTCACTTCCTGTTTCACCGGAAATGACTACAACTTTTGATTTTTAAATGGCACCCTCGGTATTTTTTTGCTTTATTCGATAGAAAATGACAAGACACTAAAAACAAGGGACATTGCTTGACAGGACAAGACACTAAAAACATTAGACGATCAAATCTATTTTTCCAAGGCTCCTTAATTAAGAATTAATGTTTTTAACATAGCCATACACACAATAGATCTTTAAGGTCGCGGTGACTAACTCCCCTCCTAAACAACATAGCCATGCCATTCTAGATTAAATTTTAAAATACCATTTTTTATAAAGCGAGAATGTCAAAAGTTGACATATGATATATTATTTCCGGTGAAACAGGAAGTGACCAAAAACAATTGAATACGTCAATCAATCCTAATTTATGTCATATACTAACATACCAAATCTCCTTTTTTTATCTAAAAAAAATAAAAAAGTTATAGTGGTTGGCCACTTTTGAGACGCACCCGGTATATTGTCTTTTAATCAACATATTTTTTAGGATGACTTGATTTTATTTACATCAACAAACTCATCTTCTTAACAGCACTTAAGGGACATAAAGGACTAACTTTCCCGTTCAAAATATTCTAATAAAGTTGATTTTTTTACGGCTATTAAGCTTTCTTGTATACTTCGCACTAAAAGAGGTTTTAAATGAACAATGGTCGACTGGAAGGTCTGCTAGTAAAACTTTTTAAGCTTAAAATATCACAACACAATTCATTTAAACCAAAAACTCGTAATACAAAACTAAAGTCCCAAACCGAATGACAGCGTCAGGAAATAAATAAATAAAGGTGGCAACTTGATATTTTTTATATCAGAGCTACCACCTGAATCCCCAGCGGGAAATTTAAATTCCAGTTAGACAGCCCGGCGTCGAATATGTCCATGATTGGCAACAACGAATTTAAAAATCGCGCCCTCGATTACTTAACTAAAACTTTAATTGGTATCAAATATATGTAGATATGTATGCTTCCCTGAAAAATACAGGCGTCATGATTGAAGTATTTTGTAGGAACAGGGGTATTATTCAGACACCCGGTATATTTTCCACTTTGTATTGATGCATTTTACATCTAAATAGTCCAGTCCAGTGATACAACAATAATATTTATATTTATTGGTATTATCTGTTATGTTATTCTCTTTCAACCGTGTAATATTCTGTTATATTACTAATTATAGTGAGATATTTAAATTTTTCTTATACAGCCTGATTAGAATACGATTGTAATTGTAATACATTGTATAGTCTGTGAAATGAATAACTTTGAATTTGACAGTTCCCGCGGGCTTTTCTAGTGTTAATTTTATTAGGTTAGCAACTTGCGGCCATGCTGACGCAATGCCGTCTCTAATAGAACAGCCTCGGAACGAGCTTTACGACGTCACGCTAGTTACATACTACAGATTAATATGTTGTAGAATACATGGAAAATATAATTATTCCTCGTATTTTTGGTTTGTATTTTAAAAATGATATAGTTTACATGAAAGCCGAAAGTAGTCTCGACTGACTAGTAAGAAAGAAAATCTAGGATCTAGTGGGGTTGCAGTCACACCGACTGCAACCCCACTAGATCCCAGATTTTCGTTTACATGAAATATATAAATATAAATAAGTTAATATAAAAAATATATATACAGTTAATAAATAAAAACGCTAAAAAAACGTTTCGGCTAACATTATAGCCTTAATCAGTGCTGTGTCATATGATTTTTTTTTATTTTAAACCAACAAAAATAATGAAAAACCAAATTAAAACTTAATCAGCGTTTTTCCCGAACCTAAATCCCAAGAAAATCAAAAATTTTAGAATAATTTTACATATAAAATGACAGCGATCTTTATTTCATAGCCATCTCTGACGCCTTTTTTTCTATGATATTGTATTATTGGCAAATATAATTTTTCGAACATTAATACTTGCACAATATACATATAAATTTTTTGAATGCAAATAATAATACATCACTATTAGTAGATATTGAATGTTTTTTTGTTAAATTAAATCGATTTTCAAACCAAAATTTAAAATATATTTTACATTTTACCCATTATCTTATGTACCTATTCATTATTTGTATATTGTAAAACATTTGCTGCATTTGTTTGGGTTATAGTTTATTTGCCAAAGTATTTATTACTATAAATAGGTATATAATATATTGTATTTATTAACTGTATATTATGTATATTTCATGTAAACTATATCATTTTTAAAATACAAACCAAAAACACGAGGAATAATTATGTTTTCCATGTATTCTACAACATATTTATTAATCCGTAGGATCTAACTAGCGTGACGTCATAAATCTCGCTCCGTAGCTATTCTATTAGAGACGGCATTGGATTGATATTTAGAAATGCCAAAAGCTGATGACATTTGACTTTTGACAATTATGCCATTTCGTGTTGATTTTTGCAAGAAGAGGCAGAACTGTGACTTGTTTTATAATTTTCCTTTTCTATTTCACGAAAGTAAAAAGAGTTACCTATCTGATTCGTTCAGTCACTCAATTTAAAGAATATCAGTAACTTTGACAGAGGTATTTTATATTTGCCATGTTGGTAAAAAATAACGGTCAAAATTCAAAGTTATTCATTTTATAGACTATATATTGAATTGCAGTAATTGTTACAATTCCAGTTTCTTTGAGAATTTATTTTTTGAACTTGACAATAAGTAGATAGTAAAAAATGTCTATACCTATGTGGCGGATTCATTTCTCCAAAAAATCCTCTATGGGTATACTGCAAGAAAATCTACAAAATAAAATAGTTATTTTATGTAAACACTTCTGCGTTAATCCCCAAACGGAAATTACTTATCAGAAGTTAGGTTTAAAGATATAGAAATTTGCCTAACGAACAAAAAAATGCTTAACGTTTCGGAAAGTTTATCTCTTTCCGTCGTTGGAAGCAAAAAAATACAAAGAATAAAAAATATTTATTTAAATTCAACTATTCGAGAATACTTTAGTTTTTTTAAAAGAGATACCTCTTTATTATTTATTTTTTTGTTCGTTAGGCAAATTTGTATATCTTTAAACCTAACTTCTGACAAGTAGTTTCCGTTTGGGATTAATGCCAGAAGTGTTTACATAAAATAACTATTTTATTTTGTAGATTTTCTTGCAGTGGCGAAGTACCCATATTAATCCAGTAAAATTGTATCGCCGTATAGAGAGTGAAAAAAAAATTACGGGCAAGCTGACTTTGTCAGAGTTTGTCAGCGACTGTCTTCTGAGTGTAAAAATAAACAAAAACGGAAATTTTTCCCTTGCGGTTTTTGAGCAATAGGGGTGTTTTTTTTAAAACTGTACTACAACAAAATAATTAGACGCAAATTGTACATAAGAACATTCTCTATAAGTTCGCCTAATGATTTTTTATAAGTTTATTATTTCCGGACTTAGCGACCGTTTCATGAGCCCTTTGGGGTGGTTTTCAAAAAGTTTGTTTTACAGCAAATTGACCCGTATGAAAGTTGTTCATAATAAATGGACAAGCAACTTTTCCTCATTATTTTGAGATAGCGTCCACTTCATAAACAAATTAGGGTAGTTTTCTATGTTACCCTTTTTCAGCAAATTCACCCTAGGAAACTCGTTCAAAATAAGAGTACATATACCTTTGCCTTATGAACTTTTTTTGTAACTTAACTATTTTTGGAGATAGCGCCTAGATCATGAACAAGTGGTGGTAGGTTTAAATGTCTTTTTTTCAGGAAAACAAGTGCTATTGGAAAATGGATTCGTGTTTTATTTGCAAGAAATTATTGAATGTTGCTGAAATTGTGGACGTTTATAGTTTGCATGTAATTTTAATATGAACACCTTTAAGTTGGTAAATTTGTAGAACTAAACAAAAATTATGAAACAACCCCATAATTTGTTCATGAACTAGGCGCTATCTCCAAAAATAATGAAGCTACAAAAAAAATCATGAGGAAAAGTTGCTTGTCCATTTATTATGAACAACTTTCATACGGGTCAATTTGCTGTAAAACAAACTTTTTGAAAACCACCCCAAAGGGCTCATGAAACGGCAGCAAAGTCGGGAAATAATAAACTTATAAAAAAATTCATTAGGCGGACTTATAGAGAATGTTGTTATGTACAATTTGCGTCTAATTATTTTGTTGTAGTACAGTTTAAAAAAAACCACCCCTATTGATCAAAAACCGCAAGGGAAAAATTTCCGATTTTGTTTATTTTACACTCAGAAGACAGTCGCTGAAAACTTTGAAAAAATCAGCTTCCCCGTATTTTTTTTTTCAAATTACAATTTTATTGGATTATATAGAATTTTTTGGAGAAATAAGTAGATAGGTACCTATCTAAAATATTTCTATATACCTTATAGAAGAAAGTGTGATAAGATAGTTAACGTTAAAGACAACACATTAGACAAGACAGTACATTTATCAACAAAATGTGTAATAACCAGAATTCTTAAAAATATTTTATTCCTCCTTTAATTTGTATTCAATATACAGGGTGATTTATACGTTTTTTCGTTATTTTTAACCAATAGCTCTCGATTCTGGTTGCAGAGGCAAAAATGAATAGTTTGTAAAGGAAAATTAAATTTGGTTGTAAAAAATTGGCTTGCGTGACATATTCCTATACATTGTTTCTCCCTAATTATACTCAATAAGTTTCCTGCTAGCAGTAAGTTAGTTAAACAATTTCTTATAATACTTTTTTTTATATATATAATTTGATCAAAAACCGAATAGGGACAATGTTTAAACAAACAGTTTTATAAGTAGGCTATATACAGGATAGTCCAAACTGTATTCCGGAAACTTCGGCAGCATATTCTGCAGATAAAAATAAGTAAAAAAGTTCGTATAAATTTATGTTCTAAAATGCTTAGTTTCGGAGATACAGGGTGTAGAAATTTCATTTTTATTTCGATTTTTTCCAAATAATTTTTGAAGTAACGTCAATATTTGGATGAAAATTAGTGTTTGGTATTTTTTTGACATGAGAAATTTGATATAGATGTCAATATGACTCCTATTTGTAAGAGGCGCGACCTCCATGTGTTTATACTGTTTTGAAGAGTAATAACTTTTCGTCTGTACTTGTATAAAACTACTGAGTGAAAATATACATTTGCCTGATTTTCTACGTAAAAAATGTCTCTTAGTAAAACTCGCTACGAGCAACCGTTTTCAAAATCACAAATTTTTCTTCGAAAAAATGATGATAAACAGTTTCTGTTTCTGTTGAACTTTTGGTACAAAAACATTTAAAATTTATGATTTCAGTCTAATAACTATTTAGTCAACATATTTAATTTATGTCAATGATGACAGGTATATTTATAATTTCGATTCAAAATATCCCGAGAACCATTATACTCGTAGCGATTTTTACCAAGAGACCTTTTTTACGTAAAAAACATCGTAAATGTATATTTTTTACTCAGTTGTTTTACTCAGATACAGACAGAAAAAGTATTCTCTTCAAATCAGTTAAAAATATGTAGGTGGCGCCCTCCTACAAGTTGGAGTCATATTGACATCAAAATCAAATTTATCATGTCAAAAAACTGCCAGACACCAATTTTCATCGAAATATTGACGTTATTTCAGAAATTATTCGGAAAAAATCGAAATAAAAATGAAATTTCTACACCCTGTATCTTCCAAATTAAGCATTTTAAGACATACATTTATACGAACTTTTTTACTTATTTTTATCTGCAGAATATGCTGTCATAGTTTGCGGAATACAGTTCGGATCACCCAGTATATGAAATAAATATTTTTTCAAGTGGTATCACTTACTTAATTATTTGCAAAAGTTCCCAAGGATGTAAAAATATGAAGTTTTTAAAAAGAGTTGTTATTATTTTAGGCTATAAATAACAAACCTTAAACCATATTCAACAATATCGCTATACTTACAATCAACCTTTCTGCAACAAATACACAAACTGCATCGACCACTGTTCAGACTACCGTTCTATCAACTCTTCAGCGCGAAGAATTATTTGCAAACCAGACCGAATTCACCAAAACTATCAACTCTACCCGCTTATAAAAGCAAAAATATTAAAATTTTATCGACGCAATCAACCCGTCTTCTACTAAGGCGACATAGTTAAAAATTTACAAAAATCTTCTGCCTGTTATTATTGATGTTCTGTCAAAATGAGCGTGTTTCACTAGATTGTGGTGATTCTTTTTCGCGCTCGTGTGTTTGTGTGAATGTGTGTTCCCCCCACGACAACCTGTTTTCTGCCGCGTTCAGCTGGAGGAATGGACATGAGAACAAGTGCGCGGACTATGGAGGGGAAATGAATCGGCAACAACTACTATCCTCCTTGGCTCATTATATCGGTTCTACAGGGTGTACATGGTTGCATGGACCCAGGTTTATATGTATACGTCGACGTGGACCTAGGAAATCCATTGTAAATTAAAAAAAAAAATGATAAATAAAGATCCCCATTTCATTTTACAGAAAAAATTATTTGAACCTTTTTAAAGAACTTGATCAAAATGAAACAAATTTTTCATTTTTAATATTTTTAACAAATGCATTTTGAAGTTATTTATCATACAGGTTGTCCCAGGCTGAGCGTGCAATAAAAGTTTCTAGAGTACTCCAAGACCTAGATCGGAGATTTTTTGCACATCATTGTTTCACAGTGAGATCTATCAATTAAAAATATTTTCAATATGGTGGCACTTGCGGAAATACCGGAATTTGACAGCAAGTTTCTTATTTTAAATACTGTTTGACCAGCGGATCTGAAGCTACGGAAGGAATGCGAGAAAAAAAAATCGATATTGCCACGTTTATCTATAAAATTGCAAAATTGCCAGACATGAACTATAAATTTCATATATTTTTATTATATATAATGTGTTTAGCATATATTCTGACGTATATTACTAAGGAATTTTAACGTAGTTCATATTGTTCGATATGTTTTAATTAATAACTAATTTCTTTCATTCTGTATAATCTGCTTATTATGAAAGTTGAAGATTTTTCAACGATATCATTGGCAAACCGGCATCGCCGCGCATGGCCGCCTATTTATCGAACATGATTGGCGAGAGTACGTCACAGGATTTGTTACCACGCGGTTGCCATGGCTTTTACGCCTTTCCTATTCGTTTGCTTTATCCCCAACTTCACGGTCTCTTCTGAAAAGAGTAGGAATATTGAATACTATTGAAATATCCAATGGCGGTGTCATTTTTTTGATCATTATTACTTTATTTCATTATTTTATACCGGTTATCCTAAACTTTATTCCCATATTTGTCGTATATTTGATAGTTAAGTTGTGTTTTATTGTTTTGTTATCTTGTTATAATGTTTTTCGTTCGTAGTTTTTAATTATTAATATCAAGTTTGATCGTATTTTTGTGTTTTAAAATGAATAAATTTGTTAAGAGTGAAGACGCTACATAGTCAGACAAGAGAAATAATAGCTAATTTATATCGGTAAGTTAATAATAACGTGGATGAAATCTCATTTGGTTTATTTCCTTGTGTTCATAATAGGGTTTGCGATGAAGAAGCTACAGAGAGTTCGCTTAAGTTGCCGCTTAAACGTAAACTTGAGCGGATATTTCTTTATATCGGAGTTAGCGTATCGGCTATAAAAAAAATCACACAGAAGATAAAAAAAAGGCTGAAAACTAACCCCGATAAAATGATATCCAGCTCTCGAAAGTAGCGATGGGAACTATCGAATGAATTAGACTATCGAATGGTTAATGAATGAATGATTTCAACTATCGAATGGTTTTATTCGAATAAAATCATTCATTCATTTGTAAACTAAAGCATATGTGACAACCTCGCCGTGCGACTAAATGGTTATCGTTGAGCCACGACTATCGAATGCTTTTGATAAATGAAATTTAGTATTCGTTTGATTTTTGTATGCGTCAGTGCATTATTAGTTCTTCCAAATTTTTATAACTTCACCGTATAAATACTGTGCTATTTTTGCGTTTACTAAAATAGTTAAAATACTAAAATAGTAGTTATTTTTTAATTTTATTTATTGACGATTGTGTGCATGTGCAGGTGGTCAAAATTTTTCCGAAAAGTTGTGTGGTTTTCCGTAGTCCGATCTTTCAATTATTTAATTTTATATGGTATATGGTCTATTTTTTAATGGGAAATTTTGAGAAGTAGCAATTTTTAAGAGAGATGAGATGAACTTAAATTAATTTTAAAAGTACATATTTGTATTTTAGATGTTTTAATAATATGAATTAGTTGAACTTAATAATCATATTAAAGTAATGTGGTTAAGTAAATGGTTATCGAACTCAAACTATGGGGTGAGAAAATTAAAATGAAAGTTTTACACGTGCCAATTTAAAAAAAAAGTTAACGATGTTTGTATTTTGTTTATGCTAATTCTCTTACATGTAGTTTTTGCGAAGAAATATTTCATTTATTTTTTAAAGTAAATGCCAGTAAAAGTAAATATAATTTTTAAATAGTAATATAAAGCACCTAATATAAATAATTTTGATTTCTAATTTTTATTTATATTTTCCTTCCATACCGCTTGCTTAGAAAATTAATAAATGTTTATATTTCATGATTTTAAAATTTGTTGTTAATATAACAAATTAGTTCTGTAATTATTATTATTTAATAAACCAACGTTGCCAAAAAATTAGAGACTATATTATTTTTAAATAGGATCTAATATAAATAATTTTGACATCTAATTTGTTGTTTATATTTTGCTACTACTTAAAAAAAATATTTATATTAAATGATTTTAAATTTTGTTGTTAATAGGTATAACAAATTATTACTGTTATTATTATTTATTAAACCAGTCTTTGCTTAAAAACATTAAAAATAATTTTCCTACATCCAAAATAACAAGTATTATTGCAGTGTAACAACAGAATATTAATAAAAAAATACAGAATATATAGACATACTATCCCTAACTAACTAAAGCCAAACAATAATATTCTTTGCTAATATCAACTAATACAAAAATATGGCAACAGCGCCCTTCATAATGTATTTTCTGTGTAAATACTAGCACCTCAACAAAAAAAATAATGTGTCCTTATCTATATATGACTCCGCAAAAAATCAAAGATGCCGGCTTCTTTCATAGCATTGCCACCGACCGCTTTCTCGGAAAAAAACCTACGTCGCCGGGCGACAACTAAAATTCAGTTAATATTTTATTATAATGGATCCTGACGAATAAATGAATGAATTTTATAAATGAATGAATTTTATAAATAAATGAATTTTATAAATGAATGCATTTTATAAATGAATGAATTTTATAAATGAATGAATTTTATAAATGAATGAATTTTATAAATGAATGAATTTTATAAATGAATGAATTTTATAAATGAATGAATTTTATAAATGAATGAATTTTATAAATGAATGGTTTTTGCTGCCGAATTACTAGAATACAATATTTCAAGGCAGATGACGGATCTATTCGATAATTTTTATTCGAATAGTTTTCAACGAATGTTTTCTTACTAACTATCGAATTATTCGAATGATTTGCAACTATCGAATGTTTCGATAGTATTCATTCGATAGTTCCCACTACTACTCGAAAGAAACGACCACGTGAGACTGCTGTCGAAAAGCTCGACGACTTTTTCGAAGTGGTCAGGAATTTGATAAATAGATTTTATCTCGAATTCAAACTCGTCCCCACAATTAGAAAGCTTTTGCAAAAATTGCAGGAAGAATCGAATTTTCCTTTTGCAGGGAAACGCTTAGGGGGTTACTAAAATCAAACGAATTTTTTTGGCGTAAAATTATAGAAAAAAATACAGTTAGTACAGATATATAAATAAATATACCTCAAGACTCAGTCTTGATCATCTGCTGATGGCAGACATGGTTAGCGAAACCTGCGTCCAGTGTAAAATTAAAAGTGTTTTGGTGTATTGTACTGATTTAGTGTTTTATTTTGCTGTGTAACACCAAAGGTTCCAACCCTCAGCTGTAATTATTTCTTCTATTAAATTAACAACACAATAATAAAATGATTCAAAATATTTAAGGGAGCTTTAATAAAAGCTTTTAGTGTTTATCTGCTAACTCAACAGTAACGATTCAAACAGCATAAAGTTTTTTGAAAAAAATTATTAATAATACTCATATTAATAATTTTTTTCAAAAAACTTTATGCTGTTTGAATCGTTACTGTTATATATATATATATATATATATATATATATATATATATATATATATATATATATATATATATATATATATATATATATATATATATATATATATATATATATATATATATATATATATATATATATATTTATGATACACATTATTTTCATATAACACCGTACGCCCATGCCTATTTTATGAATGAAATTGGGCGTGTTTTGTTTACAACTGCGTTCCCCTGCCGATACCCCGTAGCTACAGATCCGTTGGTCACACTATAGCTACCCCGATTTTTTATTACATACTTAAATTCTCTGTAAAATTTTATTAATTTCGATATCAAACACTCTATACCCTTAGATTAACAATAGAAATCTATACCTAACATTAACCGTTTTTGAGGAAAAAAATATTTAAAATTTTTGAAGGAAAAAAACTGCCTGTCAAAAAAATTTGTATAGCCTAAACGTCAAAATTTCAAAACAAAAAAAAATAAAAACAACATTCAAAAATATTTAGCTAGTTTATAGTAAATATCAATGGCCTCTAAATAAATTTATTTCGATGTCATTAGTAAATATAGCAATAGCAAACATTAGACACAGACAGTGTTTATCGATTTTCAAAATATAATTCATTATATAAAAATTTCATTAAAAATTATCATGAATCATTTTTTTCAAATGGAAACCCCCTTTTCTTATTGAAGCAGTGTGTTTACTTATCTACGAAATATATTTGATAGGTACTGTAAAATACTTAGAATAGCGAAAATATTATACCGTATAAAATTGGACCACCCTATACAGATAAACACAGATTGGTTGGTAATACGGTAATTAGACACCGATATAATGATATTTTACTGTTTATTGAATATATTTTAATAACGGTTTCTAGGCCATATAATATTATTGGTTCTGAAATAATGTATAAAGCCGCGTTTACATTAGTAAAAAGTAGTGGCGGTTTCTAGTTTTTAGTGTTTAATTTAAAGTTTTTTTTTAATTTTTTTTATACATCAAATAGCTGCAAGCTCACAGAAAATTTAATCTTTTTTTGATTTAAATCATTTTAATGACTTAAGTCATTTGATTTTAAGTCGTTTTTCATAAGCT